TTCACAATCTTCTGGTACCGAGTAGATTCTTATATTTTTCTGCGGGTTTGGCTTTCAAGTTCTTCACATTTTATTAGGCCCGAGCAGCGAAGCGCTGCGAAGGCCTATTGTATCTGCTCCGTTTCTTTTTCTTTTTTTTTCTTTTTTTTTCTTCCGCGTCTTTGGATGGCCTTTAGGGGGTCTTAGCATATCCAAAAACTCACCAAATTCTGGCCCAATATAGAAAGTGCGTGAAATTTACATATTTCACTGGCAACGTGAAAGTTGGTAAAAAAATGTTTCGACAGCGCCCCCTGGAAAATTTAAAATACCCCTCCGCTTTGACCTTTTTTCATAGTAGAGTGATGAAATTTGGTACACTTGTAGAACTCAACAATACGCACAGAAAAGCCTCTCGCACCCATGGTCAAAATCAAACAGGAAGTCAGCCATTTTGGACTAAAGTGGCCATTTTGACCCCGTTTTGGCCATTTCTAGGGTCTATATTTGGTTGAACAGTTTGGTCATTTTTCGCACGGTGGTCTCAAAAATAGTGTGCGATCGAACAGAAGCGATGGACGATTAAAATGAGACAATAAAATTGACTTTTCGTAAATACTGAAGGGGCGGGACCAGGCCTCAAAGTTCGAGCACTCGCCAAAAAAATTCAAATTGCTATAATTTCATAAATGAAAGAATTACAGTTAAAGAAATGTTCTTTGGACAATCGTCATCGCCCTACGAAGACAAATGAATGGTCGATTGATGATGTCACATAAGCCCCGCCCCCTCAGGACTTAAAAGGTCAAGTTTTACTGGGAAATTTTCCAAAATTCGCCCTTTCAAATAATCAACCCAAATTTGTAGCAGGTAACTGAAGACAAGTTGGGGTTGCTTGGCGTCACTTTATGGGGGTTTTCTCCAGAAGGCGGGGCTGTGGCGGCGCGGCGAAGTCAGGTGTACCGACGTGGCCTTACGTTTGCCTCCCATTTTGTCATTTCTAGAGATATCGCCACAAAACTTCTTGGGAGTGATCCAAGTCCAGCCCCCCAAAAAATGTGATGTGAACATCCGGTGGGCGTGGCCTATTTTCTGAAATAGCGCCCCCTAGGACCATTAAAACTGCCAGCCCCAAGCCATGCTTTGACTGAGGAGTACAAAATTTGGTACACTAATGTGGTGTCTCAGGACCTACAAAAAAGTCTCTTGTGGCCAAGTGCAAAGTCGCACAGGAAGTCGGCCATTTTGGTCCAAGTACTCGATTTAGTGGTTTTCGCACACGTTGTTTGGAGAGTGATGCTCCGTCGCCCTTTTCACCAATTGTCTTCAAGCTTCTGCTATATACTCTTAAGACATAGATGAAAAAATTCAACCGTCGGATTTTAAATAAGTATAAAGGATTGGGCGTGGCTAAGCCTCAAACTTTGACCTGTCGCCACACCACTCTTTTTTTCACAGCTCCCTATTGGACTCCTTTTACCCAATCACCAGCAATCTCTGGCAAATAGCAGCTGACAAGTTGAGGTCACTTGGTCTCCAGTACTGGCAGGTTTCGAAAAAAGGCAGGGCTTTGGGAGCATGGCGAAATTCGCCATCACGCCATGGCTATACGTTTGCCTCTCATTTCTTCAATTATCGTGACATCGCCACAAAATGTCTGGTGAGTGATCCGAGTCTGACCCCCAATAGAACTGGACAGCTGAAGTTTGTGGGCGTGGCCTATTTTCTGAAATAGTGCCCCCTAGGACCATTAAAACTGTCAGCCCCAAGCCATGCTTTGACTGAGGATCACGAAATTTGGTACACTAATGTAGTGTCTCAGGACCTACAAAGAAGTCTCTTGGAGCCAAGCGCAAAGTCGCACAGGAGGTCGGCCATTTTGGTCCAAGTACTTGATTTAGTGGTTTTCGCACATGTTGTTTGGACCTTGATGCCCCGTCGCCCTTTTCACCGATCACCTTCAAACATCTGCTATGTACTCTTAAGACAAAGGGGAAAAAATTCAACCGTCGGATTTTAAATAAGTATAAAGGTGTGGGCGTGGCTAAGCCTCAAATTTTGACCTTTCGCCATTACATTACTTGACTTAACTCCCATGTGCATGATCAGATCGTATATCAAACGTTGTCTGTGTGATCACTGACCACATCTGAAGACAATGATAATGTGGACAGCTGACATCACCTAAGCCCCGCCCCCTGACTATTGGAAGTCCATTGATTTTTGGTGAAATGCCCATATTTGTCCCCTTTAATTTAGTCAACATGACACTAAGGTCATGCACTGTCTTCATGATGTTGTAATGACCATTCAGATCTGATAGCTTTCCAGATAGGGAGGGACTTTGATGCCATGGCGAATTCTGGCGTGACGCCATGACCTTACGTTTGACTGTAACTTCCACAAACAGCCTCCAATCTGCCCGAGACTGAACATTGCAATGAACAATCATGCCCTTTAGCCAACGAGGCACAAACGGTTGGAGAATGTTGTGTAATATCACCACAGCGCCCCCTACATACCTTTAAAACTGTAACAACTCCTACAGAAGAGGTCGTAATTGCATCAAACTTGCCATATGTTATCACACAAAGGAACCCAACACAATCATGTGGTAATTGGTAGATATAGCTTTAGCTCCGCCCCTTGACAGATATTAGGCCCTGAATAACACATGCATGATGCAATTCACACCAAACTGCACACAAATGACTCTTATCAACCTAGAAACTTCTTCATGGAATATTTCCTAAATTTGGAACAGCACCCCCTAGATACAATAAAACCTTTGTTACTTCTGCAAAAAAGCTCCAAACTATATTAAACTTGATGGGAGTCATCACACAACTGCAATCAACACATGTATGTGCTCACTTTTTCAAATCACTTTAACTCTGCCCACTTGCAGCCTTTTGTCTCTAGATGACACATGCAACAATTGATTGGTACCAAATTAACAGGAAACCATCTTTGATGACCAAATATACCTCTATGGGATTTAGTTGTAAATGGTCACAGCACCCCTAGATAGGTTCAAACTTTATTAACTTCTAAAGACAAAGTCAGAATGGCAATATACTTGGCTTGTGACATCACATGACTGCACCAAACACATTGATGTGGTTGTTGGTTTTAATCCCTGTAGCTCTGCCCCTTTCAGCTCACTGGTTCTAGAAAGAACACACAGTGTCTGATTGATGTCAAAATAACAGAAAACCATCTTTGTCAACCAAAGCTGACCTCAATGGGTCACAACGCACTCTAGATAAATTTGACCTACGATAACTTAAAAAAACGTGGTCAGAAAAGCATTAAAGTTTGTCTCTGTTATCACACCACCAGTGTGGTAAATATAGAGTATGCCCTAGTGGTGAGACGTGTAATATAATGGTGGGCTCAAAGGGGATGCTGAGTCAGGGTGAGGTGCGGATGAGGTGACCGTTAGCAGTTTCTGGTGTCGGGGTGGTTGACGTTTCTGTTTCGCAGACGTAGCCTGGTGCCCCGGGCTGCCGGCCAGGCCGGAGCGGCGCGGAGCTGCGAGGGCCGAACGACGCTGCTTGCAGCTTTAATTTCTAATTGTTTTTGCACTTGAAGCATTTGTATTAACACTTTGGAGGTTTTCATTGCATGATCTTCGTTCTCAGCAATTCTCTGTTCAGCTTCCTCCGTTCTTTTTTTAATGTTCATGAAATCTACTCGTAGCTCGTTCATTTCGGCTTTCAATGCTCCAAAACTGACTGATGTTTCAGTTCGACACTCCTTCAGTTCTTTAAGTATTTCAGCCAAACCTGATGATTTGATCGGTGACATGTCCTCAGTTGTTTCCTCTCGATTATTCTCCATTTGTTTTTGCGCATCTGCCTCCATTGGTTTGGAAGACTGCTTTTGTCTTCCCTTTGACATCTTTCACAACTCCAGTTGTAAATTTATCAAGTTGCAGTTGTCTTCCTTTTTTCAAATAGTTTTCCAATGTTGTTGATCAGTTTAGTCCGAATTTAGTCCAAGTTTTAGATTTAATTGTTTGCAGAGACTCACGCCAGCACAGCTTGTCCAGTGGCCATCTTGGCACACCCTTAGACATGAAAGGATATGAATTAGGCTTTAAAAAGAAGATTTTTGTCATTCTTGTTAAAAAATCTTTAGCTTTCAGTTGTTAAATATCATTCCAAGTCAAACCTTACTGATGCATTCTTTTCATCACTTTTATTTTATTGAAAGTTTGTTTGCCCAGCACTCCCATAGTTTCTGTCTTTAACTTCCTCAAAATGTCAGTGTGACTAAATCAGAAGGGATTTTATTTAAAGTCTCCAGAGTAAAAAATAATAAAATACTGTTTGGTAAAAAGCCCTTTTTTTGTTAGGCTTCATTAATGTTGAATGTGACTAGGGGTTAGTTTAGCGTGACAAAAGGTTTCTACAGAGAAGTAAGATATAAATGTGTAAGAAAAAAACTTAAGGTAAGAGGATTTGGCTTGTAGGAGTAATTTCCAGAGAAAATGTTCTCAGTATTTGCTCAGCTACATAAAATATAATTTTGTATTTGTTTACAAGAAACAAATGTCTTGTCCGTGGAGGTTTGCATGTGTTTAAACCACACACACACACACACACACACACACACACACACACACACACACACACACACACACACACACACACACACACACACACACACACACACACACACACACACACACACACACACACACACACACACACACACACACACACACACACACACACACACACACACACACACACACACCAGCAAAACAAGCTGTTAATTTAAGTATTTGATGGTCAATACATTCTCAGCTTCTGATCATGTGCCAAGATGACTTATGAACAATGTGAGCACGGTGAAAGAACCTTTTCTGGAGAATAAAATGAAAGGTGTCCCTGTCCTAGTGATTTGTCTCTCCACACACACATTTTAGAGCCTAAATTTGAAAATAAAACATACATTATTCTTGCTTAGAAGTTCAAGAAAACCTCATCTTTTTTTTCTTTTGGCTTTCTCAGCTCCTTTGGGGTATGTGTCCAACTTCAAGGTGATATCCTACACCAGCACTGCTATAGATGTTGAGTGGAGTTCTATTGTTGGAGCTACGGAGTACAAACTCTCTTGGAACACAGGTGAATTATTTAACTGTACGGCTCTCTGCTTGTCTTCCAACTATTTTTTAACAACATGCTCACCTTTTTAAGCTTTAAATGAAAGTGTTTTGTTTAATTGTGTCTGAATCCATGCTTACAGATGACGGTACACCCCAGTTTCATTATCTGGACCGCAATGTCCTGTCATACAAGATTAAAGACCTGAACCCACAGTCCATTTACACCATCACTATTTGTGCAGTCTACGGCAACTCAGAGGGACCTGAAATCTCCTTGTCTCAGCTAACAGGTACAGATCTTGGTTTATCTTTTGGTCAAAATTGATGGGATGGTGCTGAAAATCTCTGGTGCTGCAGTAACCTGCTGGTGTCTCTGTATGATTGACACATTGACACTGTGGTCTTCCTGTTTTAAGCACAGATTACTGTTGCTGTCACATCTAATATGTGTCAGAGTTCATGTCAGTGGGGGTTGCTTTTATTTTATTAATGTCAATGTCAAAGAATGTGTGTTTTACTAAAGTTAACGTAATATAATAAGGCCTGAGTAAATCTCTATTTTTCCTGAAGTTAGATGAAAACCTAATCATGTGATGTCATTTCTCAGCTGCAGTCTCAGACTCTGAGCCCATCCAGGCAGTGAGGGAGGTGAAGGTCCTGGACATCGGGGTAAACTCCATCACCCTCTCTTGGAGGAAAACACCGGGAGTTTCAGGGTATAAAATCTCCTGGATTCCCTTCCTCTGTAAGACACTGCTTTTATGTCTGCAAATGTCCCAGTCAATGTTGACAAATCACATTACTTACTTGTTTATGAAATAGTTATGTCTCCCAAACTGAGATCAGACTGGCCGAATTTATTTTGAAACTCTGCAAGTAAACCTTATAAAATTGCATCTGTTTAAAATTGAACTCATGCACTGCCAAGTTAAAATTTTGTAGATGTGTTTAACAAAAATGTTTCTTGGAAATTGCATATTATTTGATTTATTCTATAAAGTTATTGCCTATTTTTGCATAGTTGAGTCTGTTTTCAATTAAAACTTCTTATTGCTGCCATTTTGCCTGCAGGTTCATTTGAAAACTCACCGTTTAGTCTCCTGTGGCTCATCAGTGTAGAGTTTCAACTGTATAAGCGTTCACAGCGCTGCTGTTTCACAGTCTCATATCCTCCACATGCTGAATCTGATTATTCTCTGCACCAGGGGGTGATGAGAAGTCCCAAGTGGCTTCTGCTGCCTCTACCACCTTCACCATCTCCAACCTGCGGGAGAGCACAGCTTATAAGATCCAGGTTTCACCGCTTGTTGGTAGCAGAGAGGGAAGCCCAGTCCTGGTTACTGCACGCACCTGTAAGTCCAGCCCACACATAAAGAGTGAGAAACTGAGAAAAACATGATTTCTATTAAACCATTAGGCATGATGTCTTGCTCCAGATTTTTCAGGGTTGACTTGATTACTAACAGTGACAGCCAGATGCAACAAATCCCCATTAAGGCAATCATCAGAATCAGAAATGCTTTTTGATCCTAGGGGAAATTGTGCCTGATACATAAACAATCATGTGTTCTTACTACGGATAAAGCATTTTTGACGAATACGAGCATGAAACGAGTAAAACTAGTAAATATCTGTAATCGTGCTGAAGGAAAATCCTCATTGGGTAACTGACTGTCTTCACGCTCTGTGATTGGCCAGTCACATGGAGCGCCCGCCCCTCCCTACACACAAAACTGCAGCCGGCCGGGAGCTCAGTTCGTCCTGTTCATCCACGCACACACACAGACAGTAACGGATCGCGCTGTGATTGCTTCACTGTTTCTCACGTTTCTTCAGTTTTCCCTAGGTTTTCTTCAGCTCGCCTCTTTTTCGGTTGAATATTTAAAGTTTCTTTTTTCGTAACTTACATGGTGCATTTGACAAGACAGAGCTGACGTGCTGTTCGTTTTTTTTTTTTGAACTCTCTCTCTCTCTCTCTCTCTCACACACACACACACACACACACACACACACACACACACACACACACACACACACATTAATCCACATTTTTTTGTTTAACTTTGTGTGGGAAAATGCCAAGAACGTCAAGAAAAAAATCAGTTTAATCAAATTAAAATTAAAAAATATACATAAAGTTGTGTCTGGTTCTAACATTTCATATTTCCTAGTTCCTACTGCATGAGTTGAGATGTATTAATCCATGCACTCAAATATTAATGTTCTGATTTTATTGAAAAACTTGTTCTGTAATAGTTCCTTTACTGTTGTGATCAAAAATATTTAATCTAAATTCTGAGGCTGCTTTGTAAATAGTTTTCAAATAAACAATACACATAGCAACTTCTGATCAATCCATATCAATTTCAGACTTAAAATATATTGATGTAAACCACACCCACTTCCGATTAAACCACGCCCACTTCCGGGTTATGTCACGCCCATTCCGAGTACAGATACAGATAATTTAGTTGGTTGAACAGATACAGATAGTGGTGTACTCGCTCATCCCTAGTTCTTACCTTTTATTTTACAGTGCTGCATAGAGATTTAACATTTTGAGGCAATAACACCTATAAGCAAAAGGTTGGGGCAGTTTGATAGATGGATTATGATGAAGTCCTTATGATCAGGATGTTCACAGTGAATTGATGAGTTTTTTCAGGATTGTATTTTTCAGAGGCAATTACAATTATTTCTTTAAAAAAAATTTACATTTGATTTATTGGTTTCATGAGTATGTGAAGAGCATTTTAAGCAATATGGCAGAAAATGCTCCAGAAAAACCATTTCATACCCCACCTTTAGGTAAACTGGTCAAATTTAACTTTTGATGTGTTTCATCTGTTGATTTTCTTTTTGTGCAACTTTTAGTGGATCTTCCTAAAGTGGAAGGATTTGCTGCTCTGAACACGACGGACAGCAGCACCATTCTGAACTGGACACCTGTGGCAGGTGTTTCTGGATACCTTCTCTCCTGGAGGCACATCTCAGGTTAATGTTCAAGCACAGCGAGCCTCTGGTTAAGCACCATGTTACTCCTTATTCTTGCTGGAGGGATTTTCTTTCCTTTCTGGTCTGGAAATGCCATGGATTCTCCCAGAGGAGCTGGATAAAGTAACCGAGGAGCAGGAGTTATTGTCTTTTCTCTTTGACCTCTCACCTCTGTGACTCAACCTGGATAAGCTGAAGAAAATGGATGACTGGATGTGCTAGATTTTAGTCTTTTAATGGCAGATGTTCTTATGCATTTATTTGTTTGGTGACAAGTTGTTTTCTGAGTTAATTTTAAACATCACTGACATGTTTATAATTATGTTATGTCTTCAGTACTGGAGACAAAAACCGAGACCCTGGGCCCTGGATTCTTCTCATATAAGATCAGAGACCTCCAGTATGGCAGAACATACATTTTCACTATCAGACCTTTGTATGGAGAAGTTGAGGGGCCTATAAGCACCATATACCAGAGGATATGTAAGACTTCTTTCAACTACTTCAATTACACATCAAGCACAAGATATGGAATCAGTCCTGTAAAATATCTTGTTTTGGTCTGGGATGCATTTTTAAAACAAATTATTGCAGAGATATTAAAAGAATAACATAAAATGTTATGAAAACTTTAAGAGTTTCTGACTAAGCCTCAGTAGCATGAAAGTAACAGTTTCAGAGAGTATTAAAGCTATGCTATAGTTTGAAATGGACATTTCTTATAGTGAGTAGCGCAGCTAGTTTCAGCACCATGGACAGCACCCAGGCTTCAGATTTTTACCTTTAAACAATGTTTTTCTAGTTATTATTATTATTATTATTATTATTATTATTAGTAGTAGTAGTAGTAGTAGTAGTAGTAGTAGTAGTAGTAGTAGTAGTAGTAGTAGTAGTATTAATATTTTTCTGACAAGATAAGCCACAAATTTCTCAAAAAAAGTCATCTATATTATCTGGATCCATTTTAAAAGTTCATAAGCAAATATGCACTTTTTTTAATCTAACTAGGATTTCTTTCCTATTTAACATGTTTAATGATAATGATTAATGATAAATTAAATTCGTTTTTATCTTTTGTCTTTTATAATATGGTTGTACACATCACAGTGGGACAGGATAATCCTGTGAAAAGTGCCCAGTCTGTTCCGACTACAGTGATCCCAAACTCCTTGTACACCATGACGGACTCCCAAACCACCTCCATCACCATCAGCACTACTGTTGCTCAGTCTTCCACCACGACAACCGAGCCCCCCACAGCTGCACCACCAACTAAACCACCAACAACCAAGAAACCACCACCTCAACCCAGTGCCACCAAAGCTAAACCAGATCCGATCACTGCGCTGAAACCAGCCACAGTTAGCACAAAGTCCACGGCTCCACCAAGACCAGGTACACTGGAGATGATTTTTAGTAGAACATCTTTCTATGTTTTATATTTCATTCACCTGCTTTCTGTTTTGCCAGTGTGTGGGAGGGCCAAAGCAGACATAGTATTCTTACTGGATGAGTCCTCGAGCATTGGTGTTAACAACTTCATCAAGATGAAGGACTTTATATTCCGAGTGGCCACTTACTTCCCTGTGATTAGTCCACAGGGCACACAGGTAGGTTTTTAGTGCTGGTTTGATGATGTGCCAGTTGAAACTTTCACCAGTTGAATCACAAGTTTCTTTTACATTTTCAAAAAGTTATTTTAACTACGTAGTTTTGTTATTTTTGTAATTAATTCTGCCCCTAGTGAGTTACCTGTGTCAGACACAATGATTAAGTGGAACAAAATGTGGTTTCAGTGGAAAAGGGGTGCAAATCACAGAAAGGCAAGCACTACAAAAGTGCAACAGTCAAATAGATCTCTCTCAGCACACTGAAAATAGAACAGAAAGTCAGTATATGTTTTTTGTGGTGATGTGCATGTTTCCTTTTAATTTTCTTCAGATAGCCGTGGTTCATTACAGCGATGAGCCTCGTATTGAATTCCGTCTAAGTGACTTCAAAGACAGAAACTCACTGCTCAGGGCAATCAGAGGGCTGCCGTATAGAGGAGGCAACACCAAAACAGGTTAGCTGAGCTCATTCAGATATTTCTCTGTTTGCTACCTGTTCTTTGATTGCATTTAATTTTTTTAACCTGCTGGAGGCAGGCATTGCAGATTTACAACAGTTAAAACCTACCTATCTGGTTACTCCACATATGTATTTCATGAGAATTTTTTAACTCAGAAGTATCCCTGAAGGACTTAGTTGTTCGTCCTTTTATCAAAACTTATTTTGAGCCTGAGAGGGTTAAAGGCTTTCTGGTCCTGCTGAAGGTGTCACAGTTTCTACTGGCTGTTATTGACTATCCCTTAATCTGCTAGTGTCAGGTGTCATATATGAATATTTTCTGTGTGTCTCCAGGAAAAGGGATCAGCTATGTTCTGCAGGAAGTGTTCCAGGAGTCTTTGGGGATGAGACAAGATGTGGCCCACGTTCTGGTTCTGATTACAGATGGAAGGGCTCAGGATGATGTTTTGCCACCATCTATAGTGGCACGTGTCTTTGGTCAGTTCCACAAGGAAGCCATTCTAAACACCACTTTGATGATGAAAGGGTTGCCTTTTTTTGACCATTTTTATTACAAATATTGGTTTTAATCATCATAATTATTTCTTACAGTTTCTATTATCAATCAATCAATCAATACTTTATTAATCCCAGAGGGAAATTAGAGTTTCAGTACACACAATTCAGAGATCAGACATACATGGGCAAGACACATGACAAGAATTGGTGACTGTGGTCATTCGCAACCCGAGTCGCGCTACCTTAATAGAGATAAGAGGGTTACATGAGGATTGGTTCAGGTGGAGGGAGAAAAAGGCACTTCAGAGTTAACCTCCAGGGCAGCTTTGCTCTGCAAAAAAAAACACCTCAACAGATATGCAACAGACTTCAGACAACACAACATTAGACTCCAATAGGAAGGCGGGGGGGGGGGGGGGGGGGGGGGCTGGGATCCTGTTTCCCCCAGCGAGAGCAGCCATCTACGGTGCTCATCTACTGTACAGTCACAGGTGGGAGGGAGATCTTGGGAGAAGCGAAGAGCACATTGACTCCTGCAGATTGATGACCTCGCCAGGCTGAAGTCCATCAATCCGAAGGCGGGGGGGTTGGGTTTTCACAGCATCTGTCTGCATTCCGCTTGCCGCTCAAGGCTGCCAGGGCGTCTGATTCAGATAACAAGAATTTGTTTGGGTCAGGCTGAGATAATTTTCCTCTCTGCCTTCAGTCTTTACTGATCATTCCAGTCCTTCAGTGAAGCCAATTTTGGGTTTTTAAACCTGTCCATACCGTCCGGTGACTCTCTCGGAGATGACATCCATTTTGAGCACTAATACAGGTATCACAGCTAGAACATTGTCCAGCTTACGATTCACCTCGAGTAACGTCCCAGTCTGTGAAGTCTCCACATGGACGGTGCTTTCCGTGGGTGCGGGTCGCCCTCCAATCGCTCCCGTCTTCTCAAATTTCCAGAAAACCAGATATCCTCCCACTCCAATCAGGAGAAATCCTGTGATCATCAGGCCGAATATCCACACGTCTTCGATATCCTCAATGGACAGCTGGGAGAGGCATATGATCTTCCACTCCTTCCAGGAATCCAGCATATATCCCACCGGGTGTGTCCCCTGTGGACATGTGGGAGCCCCCTGCTCCGTTCTCATTGTTGAAAAAATCTTATCAATCACATTGAATGACCAATTTATCAAATCCATGGTTAGTAAAAATAAAGTTTTTCAGAAGAAATGCAGAGAAGTGCTCTGTGGACAGACAGGACAAAGAGCCTTGGGGAAAAAAGATAAGAGAGCGAAAGAGAGAAGCATCTGTACTCCTTGAGTGCCTTGAAGAAAAATTTTATCCTAATTGGTGTGAATAAACCTTTTTTCCGACCTATATAGAAGATGAAAATAATACCTAATCTCAACTGTATTTGAACTTAAGTTTCTGCATTTAGAGATGTTGTGCTGCTTTATAACCTGAGCATGTCAAAGTTACATGAGCTGCTTTATTTCTTACCAACTGTTTTAAATCTATGTTTCTATAGGGGTCAGTGTACTTACAGTCGGGGTGTCTAACGCAGATATCGAGGAGCTAAATAAAATTGCTGCTTCCGCCAGCTACAAAAACGTCTTCTACTCTCCCACCTTTGATGATTTCCCCTCCATAGAAAGGGAGTTCATCAGCAGCATCTGTAGCGAGGAGCTTCTGTCTGAGTTTAAATTACAAGATGAGGTAAGAAAAAAAGTTGTTTCATTAGTTTCTGTTTCACTCCTCATTGTACCTTGTGTGAAGTCAGCTAAAAGCATCCTTATTTAAAAGCAAGGAAACAAATCGATGTTTGATTTGTCATGTTTCAGGTGATTTATGTTTGTTGAACTTTTGCAATGCAGGTTAGTGAGTAAATCTTTAGTATATGTGGAAAAGCTGGAAATGGTTGTTCAAGAACAGCAAAGCTACAGAAACAAGCATTTGGTTACTTTACAAACTCACAAGTGTTCTTCAGAAGTGAAAACAGAATCATTCATGACTTCCTTTTGACGTCAGCTCAGTGGTTAGAGGATATGAAATCAGAGGGAATTTTAAGTCATTTCAACAGAAGGTTTTTCTGCTTCTAAACTCTAAATTAAGTCCCTTCCTAATGTGCTTTTTATTGTTATTTCAATGTTCAGTTTGCTCAATTAGACACACCAACTGAAGACCCAGAGGAGATGCAGAAACCTCAGGGTCCCTGCTCTTCACGGTGTGAGAAGGTTGGTGCAGAATAATATTTAATCACAAGTCAGAATTATTAATCGTTGAACAAAATTTGGATCAGCCAAAATGAATCATGTTTATCTTGTTTAACAGGGTCAAAAAGGAGAAAGGGTGAGTGAACTGATACAAATTAGATCGTTGATATATTCTCGTAAAACTGATTGTGTGTGTGTGTGTGTGTGTGTGTGTGTGTGTGTGTGTGTGTGTGTGTGTGTGTGTGTGTGTGTGTGTGTGTGTGTAATTCTAAACTCTAGGGAGATGGGTTTGGTCTTGGAGGTTTGGTATGTTTCTCTGTTTCTTTGCCATGAAATTTAAAACAGATTATTTTACACGTGTTTAATTTAGTAAAATTAGCTATTTTTGTTCTGCAGAAATTCAGACCAAGTCCTGGACAGTTTGATCCTTTCACCTCATCTAAAGGAGAACGCGGGGAGAAGGTAAATCTTATGTACCACCACCATTATGAAATAACAATATCTATAACTATTCACTTTAATTGACATCATTCATCTGTTGTCATTGTGGCAGCGGTTCATACTTTTTACATCCCTTATGGAGCTAATTTGTGATATGGATGGTAACAGCTGAGTGGTTGTCATGGTAACAAGGGGAGGATGTGAGAAAAGTATATGTTTGGGAATCCTACAGAATCTGCATGGAAAAAAGAATAAATAACTATGATGTGTCACCAGAGATTGAGAACTTTCAACCTGGGAAAAGACAACTGGTGTGAAAGACTTGGGGTTGAAATGTTTGGACTTTACTTGTTAGGGACCTCCTGGAACAGATGGTGTCCCTGGGTTGCCAGGGAGACCAGGACGAACGGGGCCCCCGGGTTCTCCTGGTCAGCGGGTAACTAAAAAAAGTGTTAATACTATTATTCATCAAAATAAATAATATTACATGATGTAATTTTGTTTTTATCTTTTTTGTCAGGGTTCTCCAGGCATTCCAGGTGACATGGTGAGATGGAAAGGAATTTAGATTAAAAATATAAATTTTTGTGGATTCCAATAGAAGGATAGAGAAGTATTATTGACACATCAGCACCTGTCCATACCGTCCGGTGACCCTCTCCGAGATGACATCCATTTTGCGCACTAATACCGGTATTGCAGCTAGAACATTGTCCAGCTTACGATTCACCTCGAGTAACGTCTCAGTCTGTGAAGTCTCATATTTCAAATCAAATGATCATCATTTTATTCATAAAGCACCATTTTATATTAATTGATGCCTAAAATGATGGGAAGATTTGACATTTTGGGGGTAGTGCCCTTCCTACTCAGAGCAGTATTGTATTTTCTGATAACGAACTAAAATTCTTTCACCATAACAAATACATGCGAGTATAAATGGATCAATAATTTTTTTTGTGTTTACTTGATTAAGACAAATTAAAGGAAAGGTCTGAACCCTGGGCCCACACTGTTGGTAGATACTCTGTTTGTCAGGGTTCTCCAGATAAACCAAGTGGAGCCCCACAAATATGTCCAATGTTCTCTTAATCTGGTAATTTTATCTTGTGATAACATGTTTCTACCCTGAAAGTTGTTTCTTACAGATGACGGTCTTTAAATGGGACAAAAATATGAATGCTTTTATCATTCTGTAAATATGGTCCTAATAATGATCAGATCCGACCATATGCAAGACTTTCTGGTTCTCTAAAGACCTAAACAACAAATGTCTCTGAAATTGGCCGCAATTGAAAGCCTTGATGGTCTCTCGGTTTTTGTAGCCAAACCGTTTTCAGATAAAAGACCGAACAAACAGAGACAAAAAAACATGAAAGAATATTTATTTATTGGTCTCGATAGAGAATCTGGAGTAGGTTAACATTTGTGAAAGTCCCATATAACTTTGTAGTAAAGCAATACCATCAACATATAAATACTTGACATTTTCATGTCTGTTTAATCAGAATAATGATTTTGTTTTCATTTACATTATTTCATCTTCCTTTTTTCGATAGGGTATTCCTGGACCCACTGGTCCGAAGGGTCAGAGAGGAGAGAGAGTAAGCTGGACTGAACTTTCATCAGTTTGCTCTGGTGCATTGTGCTGTCAGGTTGATGTTTCATGTCGGTTTCACCCACAGGGAGAGCCCGGGTACGTCATAGCTGGCACAGACTCTAATTATGTTCCTGGACGAAAAGGAGAACCTGGATCATCAGTAAGTTCTCAATAAAAGTTTTTGAGTTTATCAGAGGTGTACTTCTGATGGTTTAAAGGTTATTCTCTCCTTGTTACAGGGTCCCCAGGGACCAGCAGGTGTACCTGGTGTCAATGGTTCTCCGGGCCTGCCTGGACAACCTGGACCACCAGGAGCACCAGGTTTATCTGTGAAAGTAAGTTCAAATTTGAAGTTGCAAGTAAAGGTAAACACCGTTAGCCTGGCAAGCCAGACTAAAAAAATGTATTATTTAGTCTGGCCACGCTCCACTGACGGCTCTCGGTTGTGGGGCGGGTTCTACCGTTGTCTTTCAAATGATCTCTGCATTCCACTGGACAATGAATGTGACATACTCATGTTTCACTCTGTTGCATCATCCCACCCACCAGGCATATAGAGTGCCCTGATTGGCCCACAAAGCGGATAAAGCTCTGTGATTTGTTCACTAAGCAGATAGAGCACTATGATTGGCTCACCATTATGGACCAATCACAGCTCTTCATGTGTTTGAAACCCCTCTAGAGAGCTGTGATTGGCTAGCCAGAGTCCTGGTAGGAGCTGCTGAGGTTCCAATGGAGCATGCCTAGACTGCAAAGCAAGAATTTGGTCTAGTTCACTAGGCTAAAACACTGTAATTCCATGTGGTTTCTCTCCCAGCATCAGTCATATTGTAACGTTTATTACCCATGATGCATTGTGCTAGATGATACTTTAAATGTTCAAAGAAGTTTTGATGTTCCACACAACCCCACAGAGCTGCTTTTTTTATGTGCGCTTTGTAGGGAGAAACTGGAGAGCTGGGAGCAAAAGTAAGTGGCAAGCCTGTCTTGTTCAAATACTGACTCGCTGGTACTTCTGCTTTAATTTCACTTTTATGCAATTCTTTCACAAAAGCCTATTTTTACATACACAGAATCGGTTATTTTGTTATATGACATACACTGTTTCCCTTTAATTTTTAAAGGGTTTACGGGGGAAGCAGGGCATGAAAGGAGACAAAGGAGAGTCCGGGAAAGATGTAAGCACATATCTGTTATAGTTATCAGCAGAGCAAAAAAGACATTGTCTAGTCTAAAAACATCTTGATCTTTTTTTTTTCTAGGAAAAATGACTATGCAGATTTTTAAAAATTCTGTCTTTTTTATGTATTTATTATTATTATTATTTTTTAACTCTCAAACTTTTACATGAACCATAGGGGGCTGCAGGTCTGCCCGGTCCCATCGGCGTTGATGGGATACCAGGAGTCCCCGGTCAGAAAGGACAGAAGGTAAAACACCTACTAAATGCAACTTTTACCTTAAATTTTAAAAGAATTCCATTTGACCTCCTGTATTTAAATGTTTTTCCAGGGAGAAGAAGGAGTCGGTAAACAGGGAATTCAAGGTCCTCATGGAGAGAAGGGAGAAAAGGTACTAGTGTAGAGCAACAAACTCATCAGATCACCACCAAGAACTCTAAGTTTGTGTTCAGTTGTTGAAGACCAGTAAAAACAAATTAAATGGACATTTTCAAGTGTTTGTTTCAATTTTCAGGGAAATGTTGGCTTAACAGGAGCAGTCGGTCCAAAGGTATGATGAACCCAACATGCTTTACTGTAACAAAATAAAAGAATATTGCACAGTAACATTTGTGTGTATTTTGTTCTTGTAAGGGTGACCGTGGAGACCAGGGTATCCAGGGAGTTGTTGGACCTCGGGTTTGTACTGTTTTTAAATTTTTTTTTTTAGTTGAATTACTTTTTACAAATTTACTTTTAAGCGCACACGAATGACTTGTATTAGTTCCTTACAATGAGAAAACCAAACATCTTTAATTCTTTAATTGAGGATGTGTAAGACTTGGTGAATCTCTTTTACTCACAGGGTAAGAAGGGAGTGAAGGGAGAGCGAGGGGACAAAGTGAGTTCACACATCTTGTTCTTCATCATAAAACTTAAAACATTTGCTTTAGATTGCAATGGGAAACTAAAGAGAATTCTTTCTAATTTGTCCAACGGTGAAGCGAATCACGTTGATTCACAATGTTGAAGTGCGTCCACACACTCATCTGTTTTAAATGGATTTATTTTTATTTTGTTAGGGAGATCAAGGAGAAATGGGCCCTGCTGGACCACAAGGACCTCAAGTGAGTGAAGATTACAATCTATGAAAAGCACACTGATCCACTGGAGAAGATTAAAAACATCTGAAATGTATGCAGCTGTATACAAATACCGTAAATCCTCTAATACAGCCCGGTATTCAATTAAAGGTATTCAATTAAAGGCCGGGTCTCCAATTTTGGCCGGTGTCCGAGTCTGCAGAGGTAAATAATGGCCGGTCTCTTATTGTGGCCGGGTGGAATGTGGTAACAAGCAAGTATGAGCGTCCCAGCGGCAGGGTTATAATCCCCAAATCAACCAGCAGGAGGCAGTAAAGGTTCACGCAGACCTCTATTAGGCTTTGTCTTCAACGCTTTGTAACGCTACAGACACGATCCTCTATCACGCTCCTACCACACAGAGTCACGGTGTCAGTTAACCATGCTAATTCAACCCGCTCCACAGAACACACATCACCTTCCCTGTGGCTTACATAACACTCACACAACACGCAAATCAACACATAGGAACTAGCAGAACGATAGGAAACACATATAACACAATACCCAGAATGCACCTGGCTTACAACCCCAGCCAGGTCATTACACTATCAAGTTCAAAGAGAATGTGCTGATTATGCTGCAGAACACTCTGGAGAGCAGCAGTAGGGGGTGTATGAACTAGTCGACTTCACTATAGTGACTTTTTATGCCTGTCGTCGACTAGTCGCTGTCACGTGATAATGACCGGCAAGATGCAGCCCTCGGAAAAGACAGCAGCCTGCTATCAGCAGGTGACAAGCTCCTGCGCTCGGGAGGGGGGCAACGCGCTGTGCCAGACCGTAGGTACTGACACGCGATCGTTCATGTCGGTTCATTTCCTTTAATGTTTTCTGTCTTTTATTTGCGCCTGATGTGTATCGCTGCTGTGGAGCGGGGCGCATCACCTTGTCCTCTGACGCACAGATCACTGATGCGGCCGGCAAGCAGGGAGCACGCCGCTGTTTTCGCGGTCGGTAGATCTGCCTCCTGAGCACGGCCACAGTAACAATCAGGTGTCGCAACCTCAAAAACTAATTTAACACGCGATCGTTCATGTCAGTTCATTTCCTTTAATGTTTTCTGTCTTTTATTTGCGCCTGATGCGTTTCGCTGCATGCTGTGGAGCGGGGCGCTGCGCGCATCACCTTGTCCTCCGACGCACTGATCACTGATACGGCCGCCAAACAGCGAGCGCTCCGCTGTTTTTGCAGTCGGTAGATCTTTTAGAACTGCAGTTCAAAGGTAACTCATGAGGTGAATATATATATGAACCCAGGTAGCAGTTTTTCTTTAGGATTGAGAGGAGATGCAGGAAGATAATAAACAGGCAGGACAGAAAAATAGTCAAATAAAAACAAGTTAGTTTTTGTACCTGCTGTTGCAACAAACAGACACCATTGAAGGTAATCAGAAGTGAGGAACAGAAAATGAAATAATTATTTTAATGTTTAGAGCAGCAGGAACTCTGAGAGGCTGCAGGTGCATCAGTGAGTTTGCGGCCGCTGCGCAGGGGGAGGGGGGAGAGGGCTGAAGCAGGGGGAGGGGGGAGAGGGCTGAAGCAGAAACTACCGTTGTTAAAAGAAATGTGTTTAACTTTGAAAATGTGGGCGCAATTTTAATTGTCAAAAACTCCAGCGAACCATTAGTTCATTTTGCTCAAATAGAAATAGAGGCCTGCCTCTAATACTGGCCCTCCTTCCAATAAAGGCCTGGAGCTTGATGAGCTTGAGTCAAATACAGGCCCGGGCCTGTATTAGAGGATTTACGGTATGTGAATGTTAGGCGCCTCTCTTAACACATCTGACTCACCCTAGGAGCATAACACCCACAATGCATTTGTTCACTTCTGATTGCAAAACTGAGTACATGGCAAATACATATGATCAGATCAGTGACCGTTCTCATACTGATAAACAAAAGAGGAAATGCTTTTGATTATGATCTGTCACAGATTATATGATTGCCTGTGATTGTGAACTGGTGTCAAACCTCAGTGAGTTTCTTTTGCATAGGTTTGATTTTTCCCGCTTCAGTGCTTTTTTAATTTGAGACACCCGATTCTTTCAGAGAAAAGGAACACAGGAGTTATTGTCTTGGACAGCATCTGTTTTGTTTCATTTTCTTTTCTGTGGGTCGGTATTTTGTAACTTAAAACGTTAAGACTAACTTACTGAAAACAAAATACAGACTCATTTAATTTTCATTGTCAAGCACAAACTTTTAAGCAACAACATTTAGAAGAGATTCTATGAGAGGGACAAATTCCAGAAATGGCATCAGAAGGTTGTAAAAAAAATTTAAAAAAGCCATTTTCCTTGACTTTATAGGGACGAACTGGACCGATGGGACTGAAAGGAGATGAAGGTCCAAGAGGAGTCCCTGGAGATCCTGCCAATGGGGTAAGAAAACTGCTATGCATTCAAAATTCACAAATAAAACTCACTCATATCTCAGCTTTCTATTTTTCCCCTCACACGAACAGATACTTGGTCCACCTGGAAAAAAGGGTGCCAGGGTAAGTCAGATTGTTAGTTTGAACACAACTCTAAGTTAATTTCTATTAAAATTAGATGCTGTTTTGCTGTAAAATGTTTGCAAAGATGGAACTACAAACACATAATCTCTAAGATTAAATTAAGGTTTCTCAATACCTGGTCAGATTTTAGGCTGTTTGCGAAAATCCCTTTAGTCTGATGTTGTTGCAAATATTTATTCTGCTAAAACTTCCTCAGTGAGCTTTGACGGAAGTGATGCTCTTGATGCTTCATTCCATAAAAAAAAAATTGTTAATTAACTTTTCAGAGTATTCTTGTTCTCTCAGACTCAATCCTCAGGGTCTGCTCATCAAACACAATTACAATTTCTCTCATTAACTTTTGCATTTGGCTTCTGAACACTTTATTGAAGGAGACCTCTTTAATCCCAGTCCACAGAGTCTCATTTAGAGTTAGGCGAACTTTGGTCCAGACATGTGTTGACTGATGTGTTCATGAACTTTACGTGCATATTTTCTGTCTGTAAGGGAGATGTCGGTCCAGTTGGTTCCACCGGCCTTCAGGGAATAAAAGGAGACCAAGGAGACAAGGGAGAAAAGGTTGATGGAGAGAATGTGTTTGCTTAAATCCAGAGGATTTTGTGTGAGCATATGTTTTAGCTTTTGTTTGGCTTGAAATGTGCAGGGAAGTCCTGGTTTTGGGATCCCAGGACAGCCAGGACCAAAGGGTGAAAATGGCGAGAGGGTGAGTGATTCATGTGTTTTAGCTCTGTTTTCATTTTCTGAGTATAATATAATATAATATAATAGGGCATGAAAATGCTAATTTTATAAAATAATTCACAGGGAAATGTTGGTTTGTCTGGAAAACCAGGACCAAAGGTAAGTGGACTTAGTTTGTGAGTTTATAAGCTTTTGTTACGCAGATTTTAAAGGTCTCATTCAAGCCCCCACATTGCGGGTCTGAAATTGAGGCCAACGCAGAAGTGAAATAAATTGCAGTTCCACCCTCATCCACTAGGGGCTGGTATCATAAGTGAGCAAATCCTCATCGACTCCCATGTTAAAAATACCAATTTCACAGCAGAAATAAACATGTTTACAGCCTGGTTCCAAAACATGTTTTTGGTTAAATAGATCTATTTTACACTCATGACAACTCTGAGGGGGTGAATTTTTTGTCACTCTTCTGTTTAAGTGTATTAAATGCCTAAAATTCGGCATAATTAATGAGCATCAGACCCACGTGACCACAGAGCTAGCTCCGTGGAAAGGCCTCAGCCTGAGCCTCGGCCTCGCCTGAAAACTGTTCCGCCATTTTCAGTCTCTGAACTTAGACCAGTAGTTGTCATGTTTGTGTGTTCTTTTTTGGATGTTATTTGTGCAATTGTTGGACAAAATGACTTGCTGTGGCATTAATTGCACTAATAGAGCGTCCAAGGAGTCTCCACTTCATTTTATTCGGTAAGTAAAATTATATTTATGTATTTTAGGTCACTGCCGCTTTTGCACTAGCTGAGCTTATCAAAGTAGCTAGCTAACTACCATTTTAACATGTACTGTTTAACCATGAAATTTAGATGTAATACGGTGAAATAATTAACAGGGTATATGTCAATGGGCAAAACCATGGTAAAACCCAGTGCATTTAACATAAAAATAGGTTTAAATATGACGGAGCTCTCGGAGGGAGACTTCTGTGTTTCATTCTTCCACCCGGTTCTCCCCAGCGGTCAGCCCGGCGCATCTCTGACCGCTTCGGCGCCTGTCTGCTACACGGGCTGACCGCTTGTGGAGCTCTCGGACTTGGAGAGAGACCTGACCACAGAAATACTGCAGCTCGGTGAGTTGTTTGATAGTACTTGAAGTTAGTCTCCAGAAGTCTGTATGCCATCAGATAAACTCGCTCGTTTTTTTTTTTTTTTTTTTTTGCATATTTGTACAATAGTGGTGGTGGGAGCGACTAAATAACTAATTTGTCCACAAAGAGTTACGACCGGGTGCCCTGTTCTCATGGGAACTAGTGCTGTTTAATATAAAGGAAATTAGTTAATAAAATTGATTATTAAAAGGTTCATATCTTATCCAATAAAGCGATAGACTCAAGTGTTTCATTTTATATATTTTTTTATAAAGTATGCCTTTTGTATTACTCTTTATCCTAATTTTAGACCTTTTACTACAGGCCATGATGCTTAAGTACTTCTTTGTATGAAGTTTTCCTCTAGGTGATCCAAAGAGGCTTGACCTTTGGGTAAGCAACCAAAGAAGAGAGTGCTGGACTCCCAATTCACACTCCTGCTTGTGCAGTGAACACTTAGAGAGTCATCACTTCACCACGGACTCCAGGGTACAAACACATTACTTCATATTTTGGTTAAGATTGAAAAAATTGAAGATTAAAGATTAAAGATGTTACATTGCTGTGTAACAAGAAAAAAATTTCCCCCTCCCTTGAACTGTCTGTGACTAGGGCTGTTTAGATGGGGAAACAATCACGGTATTAATTTCCATCTAATTAGGGTTATGGATATTTATTCTGATAAACAAATTAATTTTTGTCAGTCTTTAATGTGTAACTTTATGTATTGGGATAAATGAAAAATATTCATTTTAAACTAAAACGTTATGCATTTAAGGAGAAATTAACAAAATAATAAACATTCTACTGGTGTCAAATAAATCAAACTGTAATTAAAATATATATTTTCTAAGGCTGGATTCTGGATAAAATCTAACAACATATGCTTTATAAATAACAAACACTCTCCACATGGCTTTTACACACACACACACACATGCATGCACGCAAGCACGCGCGCACACACACACACACACACACACACACACACACACACACACACACAGTGCTCTGGTGTACCAGTGGGTTTTTGAGATACAGAAATTGACCTTGTCTGATGTGTGTATGTATTTGTGAATCTCTCTTTTTTTATTTTTTTTATTTTAGGGGAAACTTTGCCTGAAGGACACAGCTGTACCTACAATCTTCTCTTTCTTTAAGGTCAAAAAACATCTTCCAAGAAGGAAAGTACAGGTAAGTAGGAATGACAAGATAAGTGACAACCCCGTTGGTTTTGTAAATAGTTTTGAGAAGGTTGCACATGTAGCTGCAGGGGAAGACAGTGCCATAAAAGTTGCTGTTGATCTGAGCAGTATATTGATGTGTGAGGAGTCACCTCAAGAGGTCTTTGTTACCCAAAATGTAACACATGATGACATTCCTCTGCAAGCAATTGAGTGTGATACTGCTCATTTTGGTCACAGAGTTCAACACCAGAATGACTCAGACTCTGGTCAGTTTAACACTGTGCCATTACAGCTAAATAGCATCATGAGTGACCATTGCTATCAGATCACAGAGTCTCCCAAAACGCTTAAAAGGAGAGTTCTGTCAGCAAATGAAAAGGTACGTGTAGTTCAGAAAAAGCTTAGATTGCAATCCCAGAAGACAAGGAGATTGAAGGCAAGAATTCCTTCTTTGAAAAGTGTCACCAAAATTCTTTAGAAGAAACTTCTAATACCAACTGAATGTGCCTCTCTTCTTCATGGTTTGGATGGTATTCCAAATGAGTTGTTTCAGAAAATAAATCAGAAGAAAAGATCATCTTTTTCTGAAAACTTGAAGCAATTTGCAACTACACTGCATTTTTACTCTCCTAAGGCTTATGGCTATGCTAGAGAACTCAACTGTCCACCTTTGGCTAAATGGCAACATATTTTCAGTCTGGCTAAAAGTCTGTTTAGTCTCTCTCATGGTCATGACAGTTATGTCATATTGAACAACAGTTGTATTTGATTCTAATTTTAACTATTCTGTTTCAGGTGGAATTGCTGTGTGACTCCTGTGTCCTGTGGCCCATGACCTGTGTCAGCCTGGTTCTAGATGTGGCCTTGCTGAGTTATCTGTAGAAAGGCGCTCGGCTGTCTGGGAGGTGGTCTGAGTTGGTTCTGTGCTCTGTGGTGGCTGCTGGTTTCCTGGTGCTTGGGGCGATTCCAGAGTGCACCCGATCCTTGAAGGTCTCACACTTCACATCCCAGCGCACGCATGAACACATGCTTGTTGATGTTTGTTGTTCATGGTTTACATGTTTATAGTTGTTCGTCTCACGTTTTCTTGATGATTCTTAGAAATGTTTCTTTACAGGTGCAGCAACTGGTAGCTGTTTTTTTATGTTGGTTTCCTAGTTGTTTTTATATTTCCCTCTTATTTACTTGTTTGGCCTCTTTCAGCCCTCTTTATTCCAGATTGGTTCAGCATTTGCTTGCTAATGTGGCGATACATAACCCAAACCAATATTACACTAACACAAATTTTTATTCAAGGGAACCTCGTACACAAAAGGCTCCGCTATGTATATATATATATATATATATATATATATATATATATATATATATATATATATATACATTCATATATATATATATATATATATATATATATATATATATATATATATATATATATATATATATATATATATATATATATATATATACATAAAACAACAAACACCAACAAGCATGTGTTCGTGCTTGTGCTGGGATGTGAAGTGTGAGACCTCTATATATGTGTGTGTGTGTGTGTGTGTGTGTGTGTGTGTGTGTGTGTGTGTGTGTGTGTGTGTGTGTGTGTGTGTGTGTGTGTGTGTATATTACATTTAAAGAGCAATACTTTCACATTATCATTTTCCCACACTTTCTGTATAGCTGTATTTTGTTGTTTTTCAATAAAGAATGACACATTATTTAAGTTTATGGGGTTTTTTTAGCCCACAAATATCTATCTGTAAAAATATCTACAAATATATACAAAGCTAATATTTACAAAACAAGTATGATTGGGTTTTGCAATACAGCAGCCTCTAAGGTTTATTTTAGTAAGATTTTTAAACCAAGAAAAGTAAAGAACACATTTCAACTGGCTGCTAAGAAACTGTTGGATTTAAAATGGGCCTGTTGTAGAAACAACTTGGCATAAACGATTCTTCCCTCCTTTTTTGTCTTAACCAAATAAATTCCAGTAATTGAGCAAAAACATTTATTTTTTTTACATTAGATTTGATAAAATAACAGGACACAAAGAGTCGGTACATTTAAAAATAACGTAAAATAATAAAAAGGGGCCCAGACAGCTGCAGATTGAGTGGAACATTGGGTTGTGAAGGAAGAACAGAGTTGTCAACAGTGTTATGACTATAGATAAATTATATCAACAACACATTAGCTATAACATTAGCTATAACAGTCAGGGATATGTTTATCCTGTTTGCCTGAAAATAAATCTGCCCTAAAGGCAAATTCAAAAGTAGCGAGACTCCCACCTGGAAGTCTTTCACTGCTTTTGGAGCTAGCCAATAAGACAATCTGCAATATTAGTTAAAAAAATATAATTTCCCCTATTTGTGAAATGAACTTTGTATGACAAAAATTTCCCTGTACCGTCATGTCTGATGTGAGGATGCACAACAACTGCACCATTTAAGCTAGAAATAAATGTAGCCATAACACTGTTGACAAACCTCCTGGCCTTCTCAATTTTAGCAGGTTTTACACCTGCCCTCCATCTACAGGTGCTGGCCAGTAAATTAGAATATCATCAAAAGGTTGAAAATATTTCAGTAATTCCATTCAAAACGTGAAACTTGTACATTATATTCATGCAATGCACACAGACCAATGTATTTCCGATGTTTATTACGTTTAATTTTGATATTTATAGGTGACAACCAATGAAAACATCAAATCTGGTATCTCAGAAAATTAGAATATTCTAAAGGCCAATGAAAAAATGTTTGTTTCTCTAATGTTGGCCAACTGAAAAGAATGAACATGAAAAGAATGTGCATGTATAGCACTCAATACTTAGTCGGGGCTCCTTTTGCCTCAATAACTGCAGTAATGCGGCGTGGCATGGACTCGATCAGTCTGTGGCACTGCTCAGGTGTTATGAGAGCCCAGGTTGCTCTGATAGTCGTCTTCAGCTCCTCTGCATTGTTGGGTCTAGCGTATTGCATCCTCCGCTTCACAATACCCCATAGATTTTCTATGGGGTTAAGGTCAGGCGAGTTTGCTGGCCAATCAAGGACAGGGATACCATGGTCCTTGAACCAGGTGCTGGTGGTTTTGGCACTGTGTGCAGGTGCCAGGTCCTGTTGAAAGGTGAAGTCTGCATCCCCATAAAGTTGGTCAGCAGCAGGAAGCATGAAGTGCTCTAAAACTTCCTGGTAGACGGCTGCATTGACCCTGGACCTCAGGAAACAGAGTGGGCCAACACCGGCAGATGACATGGCACCCCACACCATCACTGACGGTGGAAACTTTACACTGGACCTCATGCAACGTGGATTCTGTGCTTCTCCGCTCTTCCTCCAGACTCTGGGTCCTTGATTTCCAAAGGAAATGCAGAACTTGCTTTCATCAGAAAACATAACTTTGGACCACTCAGCATCAGTCCAGTCCTTTTTGTCCTTGGCCCAGGCGAGACGCTTCTTGCGCTGTTTCTTGTTCAAGAGTGGCTTGACACACGGAATGCGACACCTGAATCCCATGTCTTTCATGAGTCTCCTCGTGGTGGTTCTTGAAGCACTGACTCCAGCTGCAGTCCACTCTTTGTGGATCTCCCCCACATTTTTTAATGGGTTTGTCGTCACAATTCTCTGCAGGGTGCGGTTATCCCTAGAGCTTGTACACTTTTTTCTACCACATTTTTTCCGTCCCTTCGCCTGTCTGTTAATGTGCTTGGACACAGAGCTCTGCGAACAGCCAGCTTCTTTAGCAATCACCTTTTGTGTCTTGCCCTCCTTGTGCAAGGTGTCAATGATTGTCTTTTGGACAGCTGTTAAGTCAGAAGTCTTCCCCATGATTGTGGTGCCTTCAAAACAAGACTGAGGGACCTTTTAAAGGCCTTTGCAGGTGTTTTGAGTAAATCAGCTGATTAGAGTGGCAGCAGGTGTCTTCTATATTCAGCCTTTTCAGAATATTCTAATATTTTGAGATACCAAATTTGGAGTTTTCATTAGTTGTCACTTATGAATATCAAATTTAAATGTAATGAACATTGGAAATACATTGGTCTGTGTGCATTGCATGAATATAATGTACAAGTTTCACGTTTCGAATGGAATTACTGAAATATTTTCAACCTTTTGATGATATTCTAATTTACTGGCCAGCACCTGTACACCTTTGGGTGACGGATGACATGATGATCATCATATGAGGGTGTAGAAGGTGAAGCCGGTGCAGGTCCTTCATCATGTTTACCAGCTTCACACTGCTGACCACTCCCATGCCATTGCTGCCACAGTGGATGAGAAGGACATCAGGAGCTGCTCTTCCTCGCAGGGAGTGGAAAAAGAAGGGGAGAAGGTCTTTCCACCTCAGTCCGCCCTAACCGAACCAGGAGACGCAGATGTCAGGGAGGCCAAGGTTGTCTCCGAGGGTCTCTGCAGCTCTCTGGGCACCACGCCTCACGTAGCTATCTCCAATGATCCAAATGGCTATGGAGAAAAAAATAACAGGTTTGGCCTATCTGTTTAAAGTACAAAACCATTCATGAAGTGGTCAAGACAGGTACTTGGTACTTACCCTTGCTGCTTTGTGTAGCCGACGTTGAAGACACACAGGCTGCCATGGTGACCTTTTAACAGTTCTAAGAAAAAAATTTAATAAAAGAATGAAACTTAAAAACTCCCAGACATCATTTGATGATTGCTAATCAGCTATGGCTGATTTATTGTTTGGATCACAGTGAGTTGCACTAATTCTAATATATTTTTTTTTATTTCTATTACACATACATACGTTTTAATTATTATTTTCACATGACTGTTACAGGCTCTCTTGTTCTGGTTCTCATGATAATTCCATTTCTTCCAGTAAGCTATCTTGTGCTTACTTCATCTGTATATCTCTTTACTTTTGGTGAATTGTACTGAGTCCAGAATAAAGGCTACTTGGCTTTACAAGATACAAACTAGTATTAAGTTTTAGAAATATATGAAATGTATTTAGCCTGCTAATTTATCTCAAATACTAATAACTATCAGTACATTAAAAATATTGAAAACTTGCTCAAAGCAAATATATTTTCATTAAGGAAACAACTTATAAACTTACCGATTTAATAATTTTTTATTCACAGAAAGATAGTTTTCATGAAAAGGCGCTGCAAACCTCCACACAAACTCCTTGTGAGCTTCAGGTCCCTGGTGTTCCACAGAGTTAGCTCTGGTTGTAGCTAGGTAGCTACCTCCATTAGCTTAGCTCCCACCTCCGCGTTAGCGTTGGGTTAGCTTCAGGTTAGCTTGTAGCTAGTTTGACCGGGTGTTGTCATTTGATCCTAGCCTTACAGCCCCACCCTCAGCTCCATCTCTCTTCCCTTTTGTGGAATTGTCTGGGCTTGATGGAACCTGTGGCACGGTCAAATTGGCGGTGGTGGCCACCTCCCATGTTTCCTCAAAAATGTGTTATTGTAGCCTATGGAAACCCATTGTCCATATATATATATATATATATATATATATATATATATATATATATATATATATATATATATATATATATATATATATATATATATATATATATATATATATAGGTATATGTTGATTGTCTCATTCACTGAAAAAACATTCATATGCATGCTGATTATTACAACTGTATTCAACCCCCATCGCTTGCATTAGCTGCAGATAGGAAATAAATGGAAATTCAAACGAGTCAGAAAAAGCCTGTGTCTTCTACGTCACAGAGTAAATTAGCATTCATGGCCCCGCCCTCCTTAGCTTTTCACCATAGGGAGGAGAAAGCAGAGCTAGCAAAAAGCTAACCTTTAACATTAGCAACTCCACAGTATGGGAGAACAGGTCCAGGCTTGTTTTATCTGTGAAGATCAAACTAAAGCATTGCATTTTTACCCAAGAAGAAAGATTGAATAGAGGCAGCAAAAGAGTTGTGTTGCTGTCAGCCAATCACTGGCTATATGTTTGCATATCTGCTGGTGAAGTGTCTCAGTCATCCAGGTCACGGTAATCAGAAAGGGTTCAGAAGAAGGCATCTCGACTTCTTTGTTTGTTTGTTTTTTAGACATTTCGCTTCTCATCCGAGGAGCTTTGTCAATTCTAACTGGAATATGGCAGAGTCAAGCTTATAAGCTGTAGCTGCCTATTGTTATTTAACGAAACGAAACTACTCTGGGTACTCCGCCTCTCCATCCCCTGATGAGTCGTTAGCCTCTATTAAGAGGGAGTCGTTGTGTTGATTAGATGCAGGAAGGTGTGACCTAGACTGAAACTGCTTTCTACCACCTACTTTCAAACACAATGATAAGTTTTACTGGCAAAAACATGGATGTGCCAAGGGCTTTCCAGTATCACCTGTCGCCGTCAACATTTACATGAAGGAAGTGGAAACCAGAGCATTGAACTCCTACAATGGAACAACAACAAGCCACTGGTTCAGGTATGTGGACGACCCATGGGTCAAAATTCTCACAAAGGAAGCACATTAATGCCATGGACAAGAACATCAAGTTCACCAGGGAGAATGCCCACAAAAACCAACTGCCCTTCTCGGACTGTGCTGTTAAAGTTAAAGTCCCATCAATTGTCACACACACTGATGTGTGTCCACATTTGACCCATCCCCGGTGGGAGCTGTGAGCTGCAGACACAGCTGCACTCTTGAACCATTTGGTGGTTTATGCTGAATGTCAAGCAGGGAGGCATTGGGCCCCATTTTTTTCAAAGTCTTTGGTATGACCCGACCAGCAATTGAATCCTGATCTCCCAGCCTGAGGGTGGACACTCTGGCCACAGAGCTGTTGTGCAAATTGATCAAGATGGAAGTCTCAGCATTGAAGTCTACAGGAAACCAAATCACACAGGCCAGTATTTGCATTTGGACTCACATCACCCACTGGGGCATTTGAAATTTATGAAGGAGTTTGTGGGGTTGACCAAAAAGAAGTGACCTGCAGTAGTCAAGGCGGGAAGTGTCAAGGCTGTGGACAAGAATGGTGGCAGCGTGAGAGGTAAGGGAGGGGCGAAGACGATTTATGGATCGAAGAGGCTGACCGAGTAGTGTTATTGATGTGGGCATGAAAAGAAAGTGAACTGTCAAGCATGGTACCCAGACTCAACCTGAGGGGAGGGGGAGACTGTAGCGCTATCAATGTCTAAAGAAAAACTATCAGTTTTGATGATAGAGGATTTTGGTGCCAACGAGAAGAATTTTATTGCCTTTACATTTGAGAAAGTTTGATTTCTGAGAGGCAGTGAGTAAGAGAGGAGGGCGGGAGAGTGGAGTCAGGTTTACTGGAGATGTAGAGCTAGGTGTCATCTGCAAAACAGTGGAGCGGGATGCCAAATTTGCAGAAGACGATACCGAGAGGGAGTAGATAAGTTATGAAGGGCTCCTGTTTTCTATATTTTAAGGTGTATTTGCCTGAGGACAACTATCCTTATGAACCACAGTGAATCATCACTGGTCTTTTCATCTCCCCTCTGCAGGTTTTGTTAGTATTTTTCAGTTGAAGGCTTTCCACTCAGATCACTTTAATCAGTCTCATTCCCAGTCGCAGCTGGCAGCCATTTGCTCTGAGAGTGACTGCCTGCCATTTACTCAGCATTACTCAGCAGGCATACATAGTTATGATGTACATATACAGTGAGTTCAGCAGCTGCACAAGCAAATGTTTTTTCTCAGTGAACATCAAACCATGATAGAAAAAAGACAGAATAAACATAGAAATTATATTTTCACATGGATAAAGGTTTGATAACAGTATCCGCCTTCTATTTTGTGCCTCCCTAATTTAAACGTACTGAGTTATTCTTCACCTTTTTCATATATTCTAGTGAATTTTATCCACAAGATTTCATTGTTTCTAATATTATCCTTTAACTGTAAATTTTTACTTATTTGTTCCTTTTTTAGGGGAAAGATGGATCTAAAGGTGAAAATGGGAGCATTGGGTTACCTGGAAATCCTGGAGATCCAGGATTAAGAGGTAAAGATGTAAGTAAATCCGGAGTGGTTGTTAATGTCAATAAAATTATGTTAATATACCAGTGAAATTCAGATATGTTTTGTATACATGGGATTATTTATAAAACCTCACATTTATGTTTCCATCATAGCTCAGCATTGCATAATGACAGAAAAGAGAGGTTTAGAGCGAATTATATTAAGAGTTGCTCAGTTTTTGTCTTTTGTTTGTTCATTTGTGTTCATCAATTTTTAGATAATGTGAATATTTGTACAGATTATTAAGTATCTACATCATAAAAATGACTATAATTAATTATGTGCACAGGGAGCACCTGGAGTGAAAGGAGAACAAGGAATGAAGGTAGTTTTTGATTAACTTAATGTATATGAGAAGGATCTTTTAAAATGCAAAATCATTATAGTTCTTCCCAACATAAAATAACTACGGTAAAACATGTGTCCTGTTTCTTTGCAGGGTGAAGCAGGACCACCTGGAGAGCCTGGGGAAAGAGGAATGAGGGTAGGACACAAATGTAGGACACCTGCATGAGGTGGTTAACGTGCAAGATGACTTTCTGGTTTACTGAACACACATTACTGATTATCATAATAATAATTATTATTATTACACAAAGCATAATAAGTAATTTCATTAATTAAAATACATTTATACTGAACCATGATGATTATTTATGATGATTGTAATAAACAGTAATAAAGTCAAAGAGTTTATTAAATTATTATCTAAAAATTATTATTGTAAAATCTTGAAGTGTCCTTCATCTTGGGACGGAACACCAGCAGATAAAGATGTTGTTCAGCAGACATCACGGCTCCTGGTGGGTAATCTGTGGAGCAAAAGTTACGGCACGACCCAGCTTGACCCAGCTGGGCAAGTGTGACCTTTGTCACAAATTAGAGGCCATTCATGACGCTACATGTGGACTAATTTTGAAGGACCTGTGAAGGTCAGACATCTCGGTTGATAACAACAATAAGGACACATTTTTAAGAGAGTTTTGCTTCTATTCTCATTGATCAGGGTTCTACAGGGTTACCAGGGCGACTGGGGGATACTGGAGAAAAAGGAGATGCTGGGAAGCCTGGCCAGCCTGTAAGTTTTGATCTGATAGTTATGAAAATACTAATTCAGACGCAAATCTGCCTCATCATGCTGTTTTCTGAGGTTTTCTTCTTCGCTGTGTTTTTCAATTGTCTTCTTCAGGGTACTGACGGAGTAAAAGGCGATAAAGGAGAGGCGGTATGTTTAACGCCACCTCCTCTCCCTCCCTAGGCCTGTTGATGTTTATTGTTTCTCCTTTTGTCTGCTTTTTGATCAGTCTTCTGTGTCCGTCACCCTTTCACATCTTCACATCCTGCTCTCCTCCTGTAGCGTCATGATTTCAGTTTTGATATCTCACTAATTAACTCTGCTTTTTGTGTGTCACCCCTGAGTGCGCCTGCTAATTACCCGTTGTGTTGGAAACATAGAATGTGTTTGTTGTGTGAGATTTTAGATTGTAATGATTTGCTGTCTATTCTTTTGATCATGCTTGCGTTGTCACGAAGGGGAAGCCTGGACCTCCAGGAACACAAGTAAACAAAACTTATTGTTTTTAAGTTATTGCTGCACACAGCTTCTTATCTGATGAATCATGTCAAAATGTTTGATAGCATCTCTTTTAATTGAGCTCTTTAAAATAAGTTTGTTCTTCAACATGCCACGATGTGTCATTCCCTTCTCAGATTGTATCAGACAACAACATACTGACCAGAGTGATTAAGGTGATTAAGAAAGAAAAACTTCACAAAAATATTTTGGCTCATTTATTTTTAGTATTTGATTTTAAACTGTTTGTTGTTGTTGTATTTTGTTGTTGTTGTTGTTGTTTGTTTCTTGTAGGGTGAACAAGGAGAGCCTGGTCAGCCTGGTTTGAGAGGGGAAACAGGTGAACCTGGACCTAGAGTGAGTAGTCTGTCTGCCTGTCTGTCTGAACTGCTTCATCCTCAGTAGAGTTGTGGGTAGCTGGTTTCCAGCAGTCATCGGGCGAGAGACAGGGGACACCCTAGACGTGTCTCCAGTCCATCACAGGGACACACAACCAGTCACACACTCACTTATAGGGACAATTCAACCAGAACATGCATATTTCTGGCTTGCTTGAGGAAACCCACTCATCCATTCAAAAAGGTGGCATCTGGGATTTGAACCTTCAACCCTCTTTCTGTGAGGTAACAGTGCTACCAAGTGCTCCACCATGCAGTCTTCTTTTTAAATTTTGTTTTTTATAAACCACAATATTTGGGGTCATTTTTCTTCTCTTATGAGTTCTCTGTTCAGACTGGAGGAAAAACACATCAAAAATACACGTTTATGTATTTATTTATTGTCTTTAATTATGGAATAATTTCTTTGCATATTTAACATGTAGAACATTTTTTTTAGAAATCAGTGCAACAAAACTGAAACAATGTGAAACTGAACAAGGTGTGCTTTGTTCCATTTAACTGTACACATAGTTCACTCACTTGAAATTTCCAGTAAGATTATGTGAAATATTTATAGAATAGAATAGACTTTAATGATCCCACAGTAAGGAAATTCACTTTTTACCACAGCACCAGCATTTAAGAGAATAATTAGATGAAAAATAACAACAAAGGTACATGTACATACACATAGGCTGTAAGCTATTATTGAAACCTTCGACCACTGTACGAATAAAAAATAAAAAACTTGGATTCCAGAACTATGTAGCATACTGTAAGGGACGCACGCAGACATACTATGTGAATCTGGTATTGCACAATTATTTAACACATACTGAGTATTGCATTGGTGTTATTGTATAACAGTACAACAGTACAACTTGAACTGAGGAGTTATACAGTCTTACTGCAAAGGGGATGAAAGATCTACTGTAGCGTTCTGCTTTACATCTGGGATGTCTCAATTTGCCTCTGGAGGAGCTGTCCATGGTCTCCACAGTAAATGTTTTCTCCAGATTTGCTTTACAGAACTGTAACAGCTAGACTGTGAAGATTTTAAAACTGGTGCAAACACGACTGGATGCCTTAGCCTGCGACAGTCTGTAACCTCAGATGTTCCCTTTGAATAAATTATGAGAGGAAATTTTATTCAGCATATGTCACGATGAGGAGCAGGAGGTTTGGACCCAAGATGCAGAACCACCTAATGACTCGAAGCAGGAGAGGAGGTAAAAGTAAAATCCTTTTATTTAGGATGCAACTCAAAAAACTCGAAAGGCGCAGGACTCTAAGCCGGAAACCAAAACTCAGAATAAACAAACACAAAAGCTCACTCAGGAGCAAGAAACTAGAGAGTCTCGAGAGGAGGAACAAAACAACGTTGACAAAAACAGTGGACCAACAAACACTGAGGGACAAGACAGGGCTTTTAAACACAGAGGAAGGTGATCAGGGGAACAGGTGACGTGTGAGTGAGATCTGGAGGGAAGGCAGGTGCATTCAATAAACTAAATGGGGAAAGAACAAAGCAGGAGGGAAGATAAACATTAACCTATAAAACACGTAATACTAAACCTAAAGACTAAGGGAAAAACTAAACAACTAATAACTATAGGCATGAGGAGGACTATTACAAAATCAAGTGGGGATTACCAGGAAGTGACTAGGGGAAACCAGAGGGAAGCCTAGAGGGAGCTGGGGATAATAATGGGACATAAGAGGAGAACCTGGAGGAGAACAAGAGGGGGCTGGGGACCAGAGGGACACAGAACATGACAGCATATCTCAAAAATTTACATTGAAATTATGTTTGATGTCCTCTGGTTATTTGTGTAAAATGTAAATTATATCAATCTACAGATTGATTACAGAACATAACCTGGTATCATGAAAGTTTAAAAAAGACTTCAATGATAAAGTTTTTACTTGTTTTGTTTTCAGGGTCCAGAAGGGAAACCTGGACTTCCAGGACCATCACAGGTATTTGTAAAGTACTTAGATTTTCTTTTTTCCTCACCATTTCCTCTATCAACGAGACTCACTGGTGGTTTTAGGTGTTTAATTTTTATATTTTATTTTTTGCAGAGTAGTTCTGGACTTGATGGCATTCCAGGAAAACCAGGAATGAAGGTTGTTAAACATAAAACGGACTCTTGCATAGTTTAAAAGTGTCATTGCACAGTGCATCACTGGTTGAGTAATGTAATGTTTTGTAATTATTGTAGGGCGACAAGGGGCAAAAGGGAGAGGTGAGTTCAGCAACACCAATTCATGTTTTTTTAAAGGTGTAGAACACTGGAAAACTATTGTTTAAATATTACCTTTTCAGTCACTCTGAGTTTTTTATGCAGGCTCATGAAAATCGTCTTCGACACCTATCTCCTGCATTAGCGTTTGATGTAAAATAGACGATGAAACTCTAGGATTTGAAAAAGCCAACAGATCTACATCACCTTGTCAATTAACATTCATGGACTCACCCATTGTCTCACAACGGGGAACACAGTTATTTTAGTGTCCAAGAAACAACAGTGGACGTCTCGGCTAGTAGAAGCTAACCCTTAGCATTTAGCAACTCCACAACATGGCAGAACTCCTCCAGGCTTGAGTTATTTGTGGAGATAAAACATCAGTGTAACAGATCAAATGATGTCAGTGGTAGAGTCGAGTTGCTGTCATCCGGTCCGAGGTGAGATGTCCAAATATTAGGAAGTAAGACTCCAAAACCTGTTGTCTTAAGCTCTCCTCTCTCCATTGGTGCACTGGAGGTCCCCCCCTCTCCCCAAATACAACTTCAGCCTAATCTATACTTCTCCGTCAGCTCCACAAGGGAGAGACACGCACACACGGATGGAAACAATTTGCCTTCATACTTCTACGTCTCCTGGGGAGTGTTGCAAAGCAATTCCCTACCAGGACAACAGAGGGCGTAAGCGCTGTTCTGTGGTATCCTGTAATGTATCCGGTCCAAGATGGTGTGTTTCTATTCTGTTTTTTTTTCAGAGACTTTATAACACGGACAAATTTGTCACTCATCCTCCTCCACCTCTTCATGTGCTTGCCACCTCTAAACCCACAATTCCCGTCATTTCCGTCCACGAATAAAATGCTTGCTGCATATCTTTTCACTCCTCCAGTTACGGGAGAATAAAACGCTAATATTTTAAGAGTTTTTTTTCTGTGAGGTATTCTTCAAGCTTCTCTATGTCTGCCGCTAGATATCCTTGACTCTTTATGCTTTTGAGGGTGCAAAGGTGGCGCTGTGGACGACAGTGGGGTACTGACCAATCACAAGCTTGCGTTCTCCATCTCGATGGATGGATGTTTAGAAAAGAGAGCTCAACTCCGTCCGTCCTTGCGAGCCTGTCGGAGAGCCCTCAAAAGAGGCAGACGGAGAAGTATTGATTAGCCTTTACAAGGCATTTGCTCCTACTAAATGATAAATGACCTGCGTTTGTATAGCGCTTTTCAGAGTCAGAGGACTCCAAAGTGCTTTACACTACAGTGTATCATTCACACACACATCCACACACTGATGGTGATCTTGGGCAACGGTGGCACAGAATTTAAGTGCTCGCCCTGTAATCGGAAGGTTGCAGGTTCGAGCCCCACTCAGTCATTTGCTGTCGTTGTGTCCTTGGGCAAAACACTTAACCCACGTTGCCTGCTGGTGGTGGTCGGAGGGACCGGTGGCGCCTGTGTTCGGCAGCCTCGCCTCTGTCAGTGCGCCCCAGGGCAGCTGTGGCTACATCATAGTTCATCCCCACCAGGGTGTGAATGTGTGTGTGAATGGGTGAATGACTGATTGTGTTGTAAAGTGCCTTGGGGGGTTCCAGGACTCTAGAAGGCACTATATCAAATACAGGCCATTTACCATTTTTTTTAGCTACAATGTAGCCACAGCTGCCCTGGGGCACACTGACAGAGGCGAGGCGGCCGAGTACAGGTGCCACCGGTCCCTCCAGCCACCAGCAGACGAGGTGGGTTAAGTGTCTTGCCCAAGGACAAGACGGAGCAGGGATCGAACCTGCAACCTTCCATTTACTGGACAACCCACTCAAACTGTTGAACTACTGCTGCCCAGAGACCACCTCAAATGTACTGATTAAACAAGTATCCCACACTTTTATAGCAACACAAAATGAAATTGTTCAGTCTGTGAGACATGGACGTAATTTTCACTTTAGAAGTGGAGGGGACACGGGGGGTGGGGGGATCTTTACGGTATGGGCAACAGGCTTCAACACAAACGGTTGTTTTCTGCTTGGTCCTAGAGCTTAACCAGTGTCAATTTAATATAGCGTAATATTGTATTTGGATGGTGAAAAGTGCAGGGGTCAAAGCTTGGCTTTGGAAAAAGTGGGGGGGACATGTGCCCCCCCCCCCAAATTACGTCCATGCTGTGAGAAATAGCTACCCTGAAAGATTAGAAAACACGGTATATGTTTTATTTGTCATTAATACCCACAACAGGACTTTAAATGTTGCAGCGATTTATCAATAAATTACACAACATTACAATGTGTGATTATAGAATAGATTGGAGTTTCATTTACTGGATAACAGGCTGGCTATGGATGTATTTAATACTAAATGTGAAGGAGGCTTTGTATGAGTTTTGGCAATGAATACGGCTAGTGGCACTAACACTACTGCAAGCTATAGGAACTAGAACATTTTCCGTTGAACAAAATATTATTAACTTAATTAGATTTTTAAATAAAGTAATTATTTGTCCATTTTCTGCCACTTATTCAGGTCCAGATTATAATAATGTGATTTATTCTGTCATTAGAAACTGGTTTTATAAGATTCTGCAAACAAGAGAAAAATGTGATCTAATGATACATAATTGTGGTTAATAATTATCCTATTGGCTTTCCATAATAGTTTGGCTAGTAGCACCTAGAAATGGGAATGAAGCTTAATTCAATCTGACACAACTGCTGTTAGATTGGCTTAAAATGTCTCAAAACTCAGTGAAGCATTCAAAGGTTATCTATAGAGACCTGAGTTCACCGTGTGTTTGTAACACCTGCAGAGTATTAAACCTTTGATGCATGAATTATGAACCATTTTATAACAATTTTTTTCATTTATCTTTAGGTGTGAATGAAACAAATTTCAAATATTTTTTGTAAAATTTTATAATTTACAAATATATTACATGTCCACCTCAGTGGACAGTGTGCATTCTGAGCATGAAATGTTGGCTTGGCTTATTGAAGTCCAAATGGAGGGGCTCAAATGCAATAAATACTTCAACAGCTGTGCTTAATAGCAAAAACAAACAACAATTTTGAGTAAGTGTCCACTGTAGTGACCATTATGCATCAAAGGGTTAAAAACAATCCTAACAAGTAAAAATGTTTTGTTTTGGTATTTCTCTTACTATTCTACACAATGCAAATGGGAAAATGGGTGTTTCAAGGTCCTTTTTTGCACTTTAGCACAAATCTTTGAAGGCATACATCTATTTGTAAAAATATTCAGAAGCATTCGTAAAATATATGAACATTTTTTGCCTTTTTTGGACTGAGGCGCTTATATTTTTGATTATTAGTTAGTTTTATACAGGTTAACATTTAATTGTGTTAGAATGTGTTTTATTGTGAAAGAGACAGGCTGACTCTCTAGGGTTCATTAAGAGACATTGCAGATAAATTCATTGCAGTCAAGCTCCAGAGAACTCAAAGTGTTCATTTGAACAGGATCCAAGCAAAACTACAAGAAAGGGAAATTAAAGCTTTGAGCAAAATGAATTTTTTGGAGTCACAGTTTAAAGAATGGGAGAGGTTCTAAAAGAACGATGTGTCACGTTTGGATTATTTTTAAGTAGGCCTCTGGCTTTTATTGCTGTCAAAGTTGCTTTAATTCTTTAAAAAATATGCAAATTGCATAGATCCTTATTTAATGTTGACCAATTTAAAACCTGCCTAAAATCCATCTAATGCTGTAACATTTAGGCATAATGTATAAAGATGGTTGGAAAACAAAGTTTTGTGACTGCTTTATGTCCTTTCTGTGTGGGGAAATTATATAGTTACAATGAATCTAAATACTGCAGTGAAGTACAATCAGTGTCATTATCCAATTACATGCAATATGTGACTCGAGCGTTGTGATAGTCTACAGTTTGATAAAAAGAGTAACAACAGAAGTTATTAGCTCTTTACTGTATAGCATGTGCTGCAGTCTGATAAGATTTATTATTTCTGTGATATTTTCTGGTAGAGGTGTTGTGCTGTTTTTTTTTTTTTTACTTTCTGCAGCTTTGATACTTGAAACGACTTTTTGTGTTTGTGTGAGAACAGAGAGGAGAAAAGGGAGACCAAGGTGGGGTAGGGATTGCCGGAATACCTGGTTTACCAGGAACACCGGTAAGTTTCACTCTGAAGCTTTTTCATTCATTCTTTACACAGTAAATATTTGTTATGTGTGATAGGGAGTTACGTAAAGTCCAAACCAGTCTATGGTCCAAACATGCACGCACGCACACATCTAAAACATGGAGCAACACAAACTGAACTTGATCAAGGTCAGAAAAAATGTGGTAGTGTTGAGGGGCAGATGGTAAGTGAGAAGTTGGATGAAATATTAACACCTAGCAAAGAACCTTTCAGCCGGAAAATTAAATCAGGTAGAATACAAAGATCACACAAAACTGTGGCAAAACCTCAAGATTTTATCATGTTTTTGTTCCTTATAGCAAAAGTTAGTGTTAACATGACAATTTTTTATCATAATAACCAGACTGAAGCAGACTATCATTTTCAGGGCAGATCTGGCGTTGATGGGAAGAGAGGTTTGCCGGGAAAAGATGTGAGGAAAAACACACATTTGTTATGCTTCTTTTCTGTTGGCATTTTGTGTGTTCTTCAATAAATAATTACAAGGGTTTTTGTGTTTAAAGGGAGATCGTGGAATTAAAGGAGATGATGGAAAAAAGGTTCTTAGATTGTTTTAAAAGTATTTTTAAGCTGTTCGTTTTTTATACGTGAGTTAATTCTTTCTCAAATCTTAATCAAAGGGGGACAAAGGAGATCCAGGTGCAAATGTAAGTTATTTAAGGACTTTTTGTAATCTTGACACTGATACTGCAATTAAGCATTGCTTCTTGTTTCTTAATAGGGTACAGATGGAAGTAAGGGGGAACCAGGGCCTCCGGGTTTGCCTGGGAAGCAAGTGCTCGTCACTTCAGAGGTATAACAAACATTTGCTCTCGTGATGTGTCAGTCAAATAACAAAGTCAACTAATATATGTTTATGTTTATGTATTTAGCAGACGCTTTTGTCCAAAACAACTTACAGGTGATAATGAAGCCATCAGGTTGCCCTTGAGGCTAACAACAAACACTATTCACTGCTGGTGGTGGTAACGCATTAAGGCAGCATTAAGTGAATATGGAGTGTGCAGTAGAGAGGGGGACAGGTGCAGGGAGGGTGCTAGTTTAGAAGATGCTCTCTGAAGAGCAGGGTCTTCAGGAGTTTCTTGAAAATCGACAAAGAAGTCTCTGTTTTAGTAGTGCTTGGTAGGTCATTCCACATCTGTGGAACGATACATGAAAAGAGTCTGGATTGTCCTGAGCGTGGTGCAGGCACTGCTAGCTGATGATCATTCAATGACCGGAGCAGCCATGGCGTAAGCCTTTGCAAAAGGATTCAGGTAGATGGGAGGAAAAGTGTAACGGTAGCTGTCTGTATGGAGCAGGGACTTGATAAGATTGGACAAAACTGAATAATCTTTGGTTTGCTACGTTGTTAATGCCTTTTTCTAGTTGAATGAAACACAGGAATTATTACATGTAATACTCTGAGATGTAAATGGATCAGATTAAATGAGAGGTTTACGATTTTTTTTCTGTCAGGGTGCAACATCTGATGATATCCGACAAGCCTTTCCAATCCCAATGGGTCCCCCGGGGGCTACCGTGAGTTCATTATTATACATTTTTCTGGATTTATAACCCTTGAATAACAGCATGCTATTTATTTCATTGTATGGCATTATTCATATACTACCTGCATGGACTGTGAGTTTTTGTCATTATTTATTGTTGCATTGGGCTTTTTACATAAACTTTATGGCAAACCTGATGTCATGCATTGCAGATACATGTTCTAACGTCTCGCTCCTCTGTTTGTGTGTTTATGTAGGGTTCACCAGGAGTGAAGGTAAGATGATAATGCTGTTTACATTGATGCTGAGTCCTCTGTAAAACAAAATGGAATTGGTCCTAATGGTTCATTTGTTTTCTTTGCAGGGTGAAAAAGGAGAAATTGGCCTCAAAGGAGAGAAGGTGATCAGCATTGTATCTTAAAAACATGGAAATGGGAATTTTTTTCATCCCATTTATGTACTTGTTTCTACAGGGTGACGCTGGAGCTCCTGGAAAGTCTCTTGAGATGAAGGTTGATGCATGATTTGAAGATACATCTTCTCATTTTCTGTTATAAAGTCTCTAAATAACATTTTGTTTTTATTTTAGCACATTGAAATGATGTTTGAACACTATGGTATAAGGGTGAGCACTGAGCATGACCGTGTGTAAATGATGGAATTTGCAATTGTATTATAGTAGGGGAACAAGGGGATCTAAATAAAACATTTTCTCCCTCAGCTGCCTCTGCTGAAAGCTTTGATTGACAGGCTGCTGCAGGATGGAGTAGAGGAACTGCTTCACGTGCTCAGCAGCTCGAAGAAAACAAAAGAGAACACAGAAACCTCCAACGTCATTACGGAGTTCACAGTATGTTAGATCTGGGGAGGAATTCTGATTATCCAGCAGTGCTGTAGCTCTTCTTTCTCAAGGGAATGGTGCATGAGTCTAATGGGCAAAGACACAAAATATAAGTGTAATTTAGCTGTGAGTTTTAAAGATAAACAAATTACAAAGACCTACTTAAAAATATCTCACAATACATTCATGTTTCAGTCAAACCAATTGTTTTCTTTGGGTTTAAACCAAAAACTCACCTCAGACCAATTGTCCTTAAACAGAGATCACTGAAGTTTGATCTCCCCAACCAGCCACCATCAGAGTTGGACGTTCAGGACCCCGACGTAGAGGAGCAGCTTCCAGAAACTTTGTCCACTGTGAGTGTTTTTAATTTTTAGATACTTTTAGATTCTTCCTTTTGAGGCCATTTTAAACTACTTCAGGACGTAACTGAATAACACAATAAAAAAAAACACGTTCATTTTCTTGCTTTTATTTGAAAATTCCAAGTAAATCAATGAAGATCAGTATTTTGTTTTATTTTTATTTATATATTTTTTTGCATTTGACAGAAATGACATTTGAGTTTTAAAATCTCCTTGAAAAAGTTTTCTGGAAACATGTGGCATTCTAATCAGAAATTATTACACATCACGCCTACATTAAAAACAATCCATTTTTATTTTATAATTAGAATAACCTTTAATTGTTTTTAAAAATGCCTCATTTAATACTAAATCTAAATGTCATGACTGTGGGGAGTTTCCTGACCCAAGACATGCAGAATCAAACGAGGACATGTAGGTAAGGAGAAAACGAATATTTATTAGAAGGCAACTGAGGGTGCACCGCCAGACGTGGCGGTGATGCTGAGCACAGCTCTGGGACTGGGTCTGTAGAGGTAAACACTGGTGAGGGGTTGGGCAGGGAGGAACAGAACTAGGAGGACTCGGCCTCTGTGGTTCTTACTGTGGGCAGAAATCCCGGAGCTTGGGAGGGCAGGCAGTGGTTATCCAAAATCCAAGGGGGGTGAGCGGTGAGAGAGCGGGTTGGTCCAGGCGTGGAGGGAGATCTGACTTGAAGGTGATGTCCAGGTTAAAGCAGAGGGGGTCTGAGGCGAGAGTTCCTGGCAAGGACAAGGCAGAGTAAATTCAACAGCAGTTACTAAAGTGGGCATAAAAACAAGGACTATGGCTATAGTTATCTCAAGTTGGTGAGAGCTACCCAAAGTGAGTAATCATCTGGCGAAGTGAAGTGATCACTCAGCTCCTTATAAACGCTGGACCAGTTGATTAGGAATAGCCTGCAGCTGGCCGCTCTCCGGTACCGCCCACCTGCAGAGACTTGAGGCATAATGAACAGAATGGTGCTGACTCACCCCAGATCCTGACACTTAATGAGCCGGTTAATTTGTATTTGTGGTAATCATATTTTTTTAATTTATAATCGTGTCACATGCTGGCTCATTTCATCAGTTTAACAGATGAACTTTTTTTTTTCTTCTATTAATTTATTCATTTAGTTTAGGATGACTAAATACTGAATGTTGGTAATGTTTCAACTGCTGAAATCTCCTCTCTGTGTTTTCTGTGAAGAATCTGTTAAATGGGACCTCAGAAGGTCCAACCTCGTGGACCATCGCCACTCTGGAGAACGAACAGAAGCTCAATCAGATCGAAACCAAGTTAGAAGGATCCAGAGGGACAGAGATCGATGACTGGAACAGTAACGTGTCCTCTCTCAAAATGAACCTGACGTTCATTAATTCTACCATTAATTATCCTACAGATAAGGAGGTGTGAAAAACTTTATATTATAATTATTTTATTTAATACAGGCCAAACTGCAAATTTATTTTGTCCGTCATTCCTTCCCATAAATTCATTTGACTGGTTATTAAATATTTACACATAATTTACAAATAATTATACCAAAAGTACTATTTTTTAAAACAATTTAAATCTATATTCAGTCTCAAAAACAGCAACAAAGCATTTTGAAAACAAACATCTGTGTTTAAAAAAAGCTAAAGTGTGTGAATCTGTGTTCAGCCGGTTTTAGGGTTACCTGAAACTGTGGTGGAGACGGTTGTCCTCAGTCAGGAAGAACCGCTGAAGAAGATTGCTGCACCAAAGAAGAAGAACAGGGAGCGTGGGAAAGTAAAGCTACTTGTTGCTTTCTCATTAACGACTGAGTTTAAATATACATAAAACACAAAATATCGCTCAGTCAGTTTAAAATAAATGTACATAATTAAGGACCACGCTAGTGTTTGATGTCTTAGTTTAACTTCCCCTGCACGGATGTTAATGATGCTCATTTTAGTGTGAAAATCAGATTTCAAAGACCCACAGATTTAAATATTGACACTGAATTTTGACATTTTGTGGCCTTATGCAACAAAGTTAGGATATTGTTGCAGATGTGAGCAGGCACTCCTGTCTGCAGATGCTCAGGAGGCTGTGTACTAATGAGATAGAGTCAGAAAGTCTAACCCGAAAGATGCATAATTTATTTAAAAAAGATTAAATTGCAGTGTGCTTATATGAAACTTCACTGTTGCTTCTTGAAGAAGTTTTGGACTTAGTGAAGCATTAGTTTTTTTTTTTTTGTTGAAATCATGTTACGGCGATGCATGATTTGGTTCAAAAGAGCCGTAGAAACATCTGCAGGTGGATTTTCATGTCTGCATCAGTTTCCAACTAAAACATTTAATGATTCAAATCTAGGGTAAATATTGAAAACAAGTCATTATTAAAAAATAATTCTGTGTTCTGTGTGGTCCTGTTATATAATAAAAGAATTTGTGACTTACCTAAATTGCTTTACTAAATGTTTTGAAGATTTACATTTTATCAATTACAGTTTTTACTCGATAAACAACACCCGAAGCAAGAGAGGTTTTTGTTATTTTACTTCTGTCTAACTGTTGACTTTTTAACCAGGGCAAAGGGAATAAAGGACGGCGTAAGAGGCAGAAACAACGTCTGGTAATTGTCTTTAAAGGAATCAGACTAAACCTGGAAACTAAACTTTACCTCAAATAATCAAAACATAACTAATCCTCTCACCCTGGAAACCACAGAAACTAACATGAAAATAACGGCTTTTTAACTCTGATGTATTGAAAACCCTCTAACTGTTAACAAATTCCAACAATAACGCACCACATGTGTTGGTTACTGCTCAGATAACGAGGCTTACGTAACCAAATGCATGCTGTTGTCTAATGTACTTCCTGTTATGATAAAATAACCAATACGCTTTCCTCTCCTCAGTCACATGAATGGATCAAATGTTGCTCAGTTTTAAAAACTTGATTTAATAATTTTCTTCTTAATTTGAAGACGAGTGAAGAAAAGAAAGGAGGAGAGGAGGAAGAAGAGTTTTATAACGGTGAAGAATACGCGTATGAATACGAGGTAGGCAGCTTCTGCACTAAATTAGTCATTCAAACTCTGCTGGAAACGTCCTCTTAAATGTGACGTTGATGATGTAGATTTTCTTTTCTGTTCTAGTGAGTTTCATTTTTTCCGTCCTGGAACTTGAATATACCCGCGCCCACATGAATACTAAAAAAAAAAGCCTTGATTAATGACACACCCACTACCTGGATTTAATAATTAAGTCTAATTTAGTTTGTCATGACAGCTTGCTGCATCTGCTCAGCATATTATCTCTGTAAGTTTGCATGTGAAAAGTTACAATGAGAGCGTTTTTCTTTTTTAAACAGGAGGAACTTTCCACAGATGAGCTCTCCGTCTCTCACGAGGAGACAAAGAACGGAGAGGTACATTCACTTCAAACAGAATGTGTTCATCTGTGTCAGATGGACTGGGTATAAACATTATGATTCATGTTTAATGTGAAATATGTTCAATGCTTTTACTGCAAGCTGCTTGAGGTCCAAACAGAGGAATTCCCTAATCCTGTGGATAAAAATATATGCATATGAAATTGTGTTGCACAAGGTGATAAAGATAAACTTCTTTACTTGTAAAAAAAAATGGCTTCCTGATTGCTGAACTGGGCTTCATTCAGGTCGTATGAACATAAAACATTATGTATTCATGTGTTTTATCTGTACAGGAGGAGCATTCACCTACTCCCCATTCTAACCAGTTTGAAACCTCCAGTTCTCCCGAATCCTCAGACAGAGACACAGATGCACAGGTAAATGTGCTAATTCAGTTTGTTTAATAATTAAACACAAAGCAATGTCATGAAAAGCTTTTTGTTTTAGATGAGACTAAAGTAAATGAATAGTGATAAATATTTTTCTCTCTCTCTTTAAAAGATGGTTGTTTTGATGTCTGGATGAGGAAAATAATACAAATTCAATCCAATTCAGTTTATTTTATAAACAAATCTCGGCAAGAGTCGTCCCAAGGCAATCAGTAAAAGGTTTCCTTTATAAGGAACCTAGCAGATTGCATTGAGTCACTGACTAGTGTCAAGAGTCTTTACAGCAATCCTCATACTAAGCAAGCATTTAGCGACCTCCATCATCCATCCATCCATTGTCTGAACCCGCTTGTCCATTTAGGGTCGTGGGGGGGCTGGTGCCTATCTCCAAAGGTCAATGGGCAATCAGGCGGGGTACACCCTGGACAGAGAGCCAGTCCATCGCAGGGCAACACAGAGACACACAGGACAAACAATCATGCACACACACACACACACACACACACTCACCTAGGGACAATTTAGACAGACCAATCAACCTAACAGTCATGTTTTCAGACTGTGGGAGGAAGCCGGAGTACCCGGAGAGAACAGGGAGAACATGCAAGAAGCGAACCCAGGACCTTCTTGCTGCAAGGCAACAGCTCTAACCACTGCGCCACTGTGCAGCCCACGCATTTAGCGACAGTGGACAGGAATTTATTCTAGGGCAGAAAAATCTTCTCTATGAAATAAAAAGCCTCTTTGTGAAAAACATCGTTTTAAAGTGACACGTTTAGGTGTTAAATTTGAGTTTTTTAAAGATATTTCTGGCAACCAGCTTTCCTGTATTTTGTTCCTTTTAGGTTATCATGACAACTCCAGCACCACCTTCTCGATCCACAGGTGGTGCGTTTGAGGTAAGCAGCTGATTTTGTTGTTTCTCTGCTCCTCCAACCTGCCCACCAGCTTTCATGACTTGTGTGATCAAGTGAAGGCAACTTAGAAACCATTACATTCAGCACTTTTACTAAAATAACTGAATAGAACTTGGGGACCCTTTTAGCTGTAACTGCAAGACCACATTTACTCAGTGTGGCGCTTTGCTGTTACAGTTGTGCATTTATAGATAATCTTTGTTCTGTCCTATATTTTACAACCAGGATCAGGTGGTGCTGCCCACTCCTCCACCTGCAACAGATGAGCCAGATCAGGTAAAGTCTCTGACTCTGATTATACAGATTTGCATCATTTTTTTTTACTTCTTAAATTTTTGCATGCTGTGGAATGCAAAATATCTTCATACCTGCACACAGAAGGATAAAAACGAGTGACTCAGTTGAATAAACATTACATTTTTCATTTTTGGTAACTGAAAATTTCACCAGTGTAAATTGATGCACATTAACCCTCGTGCATTTGTTAATCGTAACATTTAATAGAGCATGGGACAGGACAGAAGCATGCTTTTAGCATGATTCCTCTAAAGCTTCTCTGAACAGAAATTAGACAAAATTTTAACCAAACAATAAAATAATTTGGTGAATAAAAATTCCAGAGATTTTAATTCTTTAATACTTTCTCTCTTTCGTTTTTTTAAACAGGAAATCTCTTAAATCTCAAGAGTGAATCTTTAGCGTCCTAATTGTTCATGAGAAAGCACTACATGGAGAGTTATTTCTCCGATGAGGAATCCTGAACCCGACCAACATTTCACGAGGGACGACATCTTTCCACACAGACAGTTTCAGTCAAAGCTTTGGCCACACAGATGCTCTTTTCTTGAAGAGGGTTTAATTTTGGCGGAGTCAACGCAACACGTAGATTGTGATCATCGATTTAGACTTTTCATCTGATGTTGTGACCTCATTATTTATTTATTCCCAAAATTTTGATGCAACTAACACAAGTTTGTTAACTTTTTCACATTTTTGTCCCGATTTCTACAAAACCTTTATTTATTGAATTTTTAAAATAGACATTAGTCAAATTGTAACAATACTCTAAGTTGTTATTTGGATTGATCAAACACTTTTGTCACTGGTGAAATTTTTCTGTAATGATATTGTCTTTGTTTACGTCTGTGTGCATGTATGCATAAGTAAAAATGTTCAAATAACTAACCAGCAACTCTGTGTCCGTTTTTTAATCACATTTTCATGATTTTTCACATCAACTTTCAAAAAAAAAAATGCCCCAAATCTTCTAAGTTTGTTTACAAATGTTTTGGGGGACTTTACAGATTCCTCAGCCTCAAATCAGAGTGAAAAGAAGCACGTCCTGGCCTGTCTCTTTGGTGGGTTTTACCTGATTTTGTGCAAAAGTACTAACTATAAATAAAAATTGTTACAATATCAGTAATTACAGTACCTAAAGTTTTCATTTTTATCTTTTAGGTCTTTATGCCAGGTGCCCCAGGTGGACGAAACTGGTTTAAAAAAGCACAAAACGTAATAGTCTTCACCAGATACATCTCTTCTTTAAAAATTCATGCTATAAAACACGAAAACGCCATTTCATGGAGCACATATGAAATTTCCCTCTCATTTTAATTTCAGAATCAGTCTCCTGGTGCTCGCGGTTATAGTAGCTGGAGTGTAAGTTAGTGAGCAACAACAGATGAGACTATAACATTGAACACTTCTGAGTTATGTTGCTTACAATATCATTAATGTGTGTCGTTAAACTTTTTAATGCAGAACATAAATCATAAAAACATTCAAACACCTTCTGAGAGGAAGTGGCAAGAAAGAGAAGACAAACTGCTATCGAGTGATGCAACCATAGAGACTCAAACAGATGGAGGAGAAGAGGAGGGAGAAATGGAAAAAGCGAAAGAAGAAGTTGTGCCTGGTGGATATTTAGAAACAAACCCCGATGCAGTCCGTGAGGAAGAAGAGGAGACAAGTGGAGATTACGACTGGGAGATGGAGGAAGATGTTGATCGTGAGAGGGAAGAAGAGGAGAATGAGTTGGAGGTTAGAAGAGAGAAAGAAAGGTTGGAAATGGAGAGAGAAAGAGAGGAGCTGGAGAAAGAGAAGGAGGCCAACCTGGAGATGGAGAAAGAAAACACAGAGAGGGTGGAAGACACGGAGGTGGAGAAGACAGAGGAGGAGGTGGAGAGAGACTTAGAGAGGGAGGAATGGGAGAGGAGGAGGGAGAAAATGGAAAGAGAGCGAGAAGGGAGCCACAGTGAAGAAACTGAACAGCCTTATCCATATCCTCCAGAGTACTTTTTCCTGAAGGTAAGGACGTAAAATATGTTACTTTATCTTCGTGCACTCCAGTTTCAAGGTTTATTACTGGACAAGCAAAAGTGAGCATACATGTAAGTCAGATAGGGGGGAAAAGCGAAATAACCTCATCTCAGTATGAAACATCTGAAAAATGTGTCTTCTGCCATTGAACAGGATCAAAGAATAAATCTGAAATAGTCAAATAATCTTGATAATTAAAGATGCATTTTACCCCAAATCAGCCATTTGCTCAATAATTGTGTACACTAATTTTCAAATCATAGACAGGCTTTGTTTTCTCGTCTAAATTAAATCTGTTGGATTAATGAACATTTCTTGTGCAACAGGGGCAGCCCGGTGAAAATGGAAACCCCGGACAAAAGGTAATATAGTTTCTGTGAGAAAATACAAAAGATGCAAATTCTCAAAAGTATCAAAGCCCCCCCCAAAAAAAACATAAACATATTCTTTCAGTCAATAAAAATGTAATAGACTGCTGGTTTGTGGTTTTGTTTGATTTATGACAAGTCAGCAGCCACTTGGATGAGATTTGACCCAGTTACAACAAATTACTAGTCATTCCAGCTGGATATACTCTCCGTTTTAGGAAGGTTTTAGCTACGATAGTGACAGAGGAGTTAAGTGCTCACCTCATAACCGGAGGGTCACGGGATTGAGTCTCACTCTGTCTGTCACAGTCGTTGTGTCCTAGGGCAAGACAATTAACCTGGCTTGCCTGCTGGTGGTGATTGAAGGAACCGGTGGCGCCAGTGATTGGCAGCCTCATTTCTGTCAGTGCGCCCCAAGGCAGCTGTGGCTACGTCGTAGCTCATCACCACCGGTTTGTGAATGTGAGTTTGTGTGGGTGAATGACTGAATGTGTTGTGAAACGCACAAGTTTCACAAGTTTACGACTCATAAAACATGTTAGCAGGCTAAGCTAATAACACTAGTCTAACATAGTAAATTGGGCAAAACAGATTTCCTACAAGGGTGGAATTACATGGTAACAACGCTACTATTATTATTGTTGTTGTTGTTACTACAGTTAGCATAAACCTTAGCATGTTTTTGCAATTAAAAGGAACTCATCCCAAGGACAAATTTTCACTGCATCTATAAAGAAAATTTGGGGTTCCGAAGAACAAACACCAAGACTTAAAGTTAACTGAGCTGCAGGTTTGGGGCTCCGCCAGTGCAGATAGGTCAGGTAGGACAGCAGGCAGGTGTAAGTGTATCTGTGTTCACACTGAGGGTCTTTTGGAAAATGGCCGGGTCGCTGGGTTCTGGGCTCGGCCAGCTTGAGGGTGGGAGGCTGCGGGCGGGCCTGTGGGCTTGCCGTTGATATCTCCTGGGACTCTGCCGGCTGCTGGTTGTGACCCCCGGGGCAATCCCTGCGCCTCTCGAGAGGGGTTTGCGGCTTTTCTGGTTACAGTCTCCCTGGAGTTCCTGTGCTCTGGGACAGCTCCTGGATCTCTGGGACTTGGAGCTCTATCCATCTCCTACACATCTTTGGGGGGCAGATCTGTGGCTCCTCATACTCTCTATTGGACACTCCTATAGAGAAACCTTAAATATGCAAGCGCATGTACGCACACAGGTGCTCACATGGTGCTCTCATAAGTATGGACTTGGGCATTTTCATCATGTCTTAAGGCTGTGGTTGGCACTAAATGCACTGTGATTTATTATCCTGTGATTGTTCAGTAAAACAATGTTGATTTTTTATTTCCTCATCAGGTTGATTTAGTGATAGCTTGCTCCCGTTGTATTGTGTGTCCTTTTTTTGTTTGTTTTTCTCTTTCTGCAGGTCTAGAAGCAGACTCTTGTTCATCATTGATTGTTTATTTTTGTGGAACCCCCCCCCCCCCCCCCCCTCATTCCTTTTGTCTCTTCGTATCTCTTTCACCTCTGTCTCCGTGTCTGGTCGGAATTATAAAGCATTCAGAAAACAATAACAATAAAGTTTTAATTATCAGGTGTGGCATTAAAGCAGAAGCTTTGATGCTCCACCTGAAAGTAAATCTGTAAGTCTTGTCACCAGCATTAAGACATCAATTATGTTTGCTTCACAGCCAGACAGGACACGGGAAGAAAAAGTAAAATAAAATAAAATAAAGGATAATGGCCTGGTTTAAGGAAGGACAGCAAAGAAGCAATTCATCTCCAAAACCATCAGGGAAATACTAACATCTTGCCAGAATTTCATGACATGATTGATACATTTTCTAAATTTTGGATACATGGATATGTTGGTAAATGAAAAAAAAACCCTGAGTCCTGGCTTTAATTATGCAAGAATGAGTTTCTATCAGTCAGGATTGACCCAGAAAATGATTGATATCGTGGGGATGAATCGCAGAGAATATTGACTCTTTCCACAAACATAATGTAATAATCAACAAAAACATTTAAAACGTGCCATAGAATTATGACACGTAAATCAAAAACACACTGAGGCCACAAAGTTTCTGAAAACAAAACTTTAGGCCTCAGCTGGCATTGTGTTGACATTATGTTGTTCAGGAATTTCAGTTTGTTACAAAAGGGATCAACCAAGCTGCTCTCCATTGAGCCAGAGAGTCCCCGCTCTCGTTTCTATAAGGATAGATAATGAAATTTCATTTTGTGACTTAATTGAAATGCCTGTTTAATATAAACATACTATTGTTATAATTTACAGTCGTGGATCTTATCAGCCCTGATTACACATCGTCATCGTCATGGAGCACAAAGCATGACTGACGGTTGCCACATGAAATGTGCTACCAGTTCATAAAAATATCATGGCTGTACTTCTGCCTATCCACGTCGCATCAGCCCATGACATCAGAGCTCAGGGAGAGCTCCTCGCCCGTCTCGCCTGTCAGTAACACCATTTCAGTCCAGGCCTTTGATGTCCCCTCTGCTCTATTTCTGCACCACTATGAGACAGTAGATTAAAGCAGGCATGAATAATTCCCCTTGTTAAACATGCTGACAAGGCTTGGATGTTTTACTTCAAATTCCTCTGAGTTAGCTTATTTAGGCTCTGGAAAAAGACGTGTCATGGTGCATTTTATTTCTCTAACTACGTTTCTATTTTTAACACATTTTTAGGGTGAAATTGGTGAAAAGGGACAAAAGGTAAAAAAAAAAAGATTTAAGACTGAATTTTAAAAGAAAATCTCTTTGAACGCATGTTCACCTGTTTGTTTTGTGGGATGTATTTCAGGGAGAGCCAGGCATCGGTCACAGAGGTCCAGAGGGTCAAGCAGGTCCTCCAGGACAGAAGGTGATATATCACTCCGTATTTGTAGTTTAAATGTTAAAAAAGAAAAAGCAGCAAGTTGTTGAAAGCTTATTTAGAAGTTCCTAGAAATTCTATTAACTCCCACAGTCTTCTATAGCATTCACTTGGATTGACTTTGTTTCTCATTGCAGTTTTAATTTAGGGAATTTAATTGGGCCAGTGACTCACTCCTCATCTGAAGTTCGGGTTGAGCTTTTAATTTGATAACACCAGCAATAACTTAAATTGAAGCTATTATTTAGATGTAATAAAAGAGCTGAATAATGACATTACATGGGATAAGTGGTCTGTATCCTCATTTTCTCTTTCAAATATTAGATTCCCCCAGTCGTTCATTCCCTTCTTCTTTCTGTCTTGTTGTTTCAGGGGGAACCAGGGCAGCCAGGACCTCCAGGTGCTCAAGGCATCCAGGGTATCCATGGTAATCCAGGCATCCAGGGCTCCCCTGGTCTTAGAGGACCCCCAGGGGACACCGGAGAGCCAGGTAGAGAGGTAAATCTACATATATGATCTTTAACAAACTACCCAGCTCATTTAATACCAGAGGAAATGTGTGCTGCATGCTAAAAAAACTAAACGAAAGGAGACAAATAAATTGATGTTGAAACATGAGGTAGGATGTTTGGTGTGTCGATGCAGGGAGAGCGAGGTAAAAAAGGGAAGAATGGATCATCGGGATCTCCGGGATCTCAAGGTTCACCAGGACCTGATGTATGAGGATAAGGATCATTTTCATCTTTTAATTTCATTATTGTCCATCTGCTCTTATTAAAAGTTTACATATTTAGCATTTTTAACAAGTTTATCCCTGTTTTCTTTGAAGGGTCTTCCTGGAGTACCTGGAGTTAAAGGAGAAAAGGTAATGGCTACTGATGTAAAACATTTTAGAGCCGTAATTTTTTCTTCTGAAGCTTAGGGGCAAGTAATAGTTTTACAGTTTTTCTAAGGTCTAGACACTTACTTGACACTTTTAATGGATCGATTGACTTTTATTGTGTACCATTAATGTATCACCATCATGTTTGCTATTTTGTTAGTTTTTCTGACTTTAGAACTAAAACTTGTTTTAATTTGTTAAACTCAACCAGGGTGACAGTATTCCAGGTCAGCCTGGTGCTAGGGGAGTACCTGGCCCCCCAGGGAGACAGGTGAGCTGATTTCACATCATCTCTGTGTTCAGCTACAATCCTTTCACCTGCCAATGATTTGAAGTCATTCAATGCCTAATTAATTCTTTTCAGGGTGAAAAGGGCACTCCGGGTGTTAAAGGAGCTCCAGGTCTTATTGTGAGCCACCTTCGAAGCTTTACCAGTGCTTAAACAGTTTGATTTGGGCTAGATTGTGTTTACTTTTTCACTTTTGTAAACCAGGGTCCAAAGGGTCTACGTGGTGGCAAAGGGGAAAAGGTGAGATTACATTTTGTATGAATTTATTAGCATTAGCTCCATGATTCTGCTACAGAGGGTTTGAAGGTGAGGAGATGGAGGGAGAGCTCACTTTTCCTTGAGATGATGGGTCAGTTGAAGTTCACGTTGTTTTCAAATGAAATGTCAGGTGTCACTAAGATTGCTCCCATATTTGTCTCTTCTCTGTTCAAGTGTCACAGCTGAGGTGGTGTTGACTGATTTGCTCATGACGCTCTGTCCTGTCAGATACCTCTGAACTCCACTCATGTTGTGTCCTGATGGGTAGATTATATCAGACATGATCATGCTGTTATGTGCTGCTGCTGCAGCAGGAGCTCTAAGATATGAAGTAATAAGTGGTGGCACCTGAGATGTTGTAAAATCTTATTTGGGGAATGAAAATATTCTTTTGTATTTGTTTTTGTTTTTCCAAAAGGGGGACCGAGGCACACCTGGAGTCAGAGGAGAAAGGGTACACTTCTCAAGTATTTAAGCACTGTGCTCTCTTTGAAGATGGTTGGATCAGACGTAATTTCACATCTGTCAAAAAAAAAAAACGGATTTGCGCTCCTCTCTCTCCAAATATAAATGTTAATTTATGTTTTAAAATGAAATGTCATTTCCTTCTGCAGGGAAGTGAGCTTAATATTCAAGGACCCCGTGGTTTCAAAGGCACCAAAGGAGAGGCGGTAGGATGCTCTTGAATTTGTCTTTTTTTCTTTTTGCACAACATTTGCAATGTTTGTTTGTGTGACTTTCCAGATTAAAAGACTCATTCTAACAGCAATTTTGCAACAAATGTGCAGATTAGATAAACAGTTTTTTGAATAAACATCCAGAAATATTTTAATCAACAGTTAAAATCTATAGGAGCATTGAAAGAGCGCCATGTCCATGTGACACCTGGTCTCTATAAAGTGTGTGAGGAACATGAACCAGTTAGGACTGGTCTATAGGTCTGTAATTACCTTTTTATACAATACATGAATTTCTTTTATAAAGATTTTTCTACAATAGCCCCACTTATTCAACCCAAATGTTGCTTTTCTTTCATATATAAATCAATGTCATGCTGAGTTTTCTGATCTTTGACAAATTCTTGAGAAAATCTTTCGTTTTATTTTAGAAAAAAACGTTTTGACCTTTTAAACCAAAATTGGCCACTTTAATAAAAGTTGTGAGCCAAAGTTTATAGACATAAAAGCCTCTATGGCGTTGTCCTATTTGTGCCTTTACATTTGTTGAGGTTCACACAAAAAAAGTTTTCTTTCTTTCTTAAACTGACAAATCAAACAAAGAAAACAATTCTGTCTTAAAATAGCTTTTAAGAAATAAATTCACATTTCATTTCAGGGTGAGCGAGGCCTCCCAGGTTTTGATGGTGATAAAGGAGAGAAGGGAGAAGATGGGCCTCCTGGAGTCAAGGTGACGAAGATATCTATTTCACTCTAATCTGAGATCATGAGACAAACACGCCGCTCATAGCGTTGGACAGTTCTGGGTTTCGTTGAGGTTTTTTAAAGATCTAAACCAGAACCGCCTACTATTTCTTCTCTCCTCTATTTTTATTAAGCTTTTACAGTGTAAACATACAAACTTATAATAACAAAACACATGCATAACAACAAAGAAAACAGAACCTGACAGGTTAACCAAATTAGGGAAATAAGACAAGGCTAAAAATAATGAAAATGGGAGACTTAACCCACCCCTCCATCCCCTCCGTCCCCTCCATCCCGATGAAGACCTTGTTTTAGAGTGTCCCCAAGACCCTACTAAATAATTAGAAGAGCAAGGTTAAATCAGCTTAATATTAGCAAGGTACTGTATAAAGGGTTGCCAAGTTGCATCAAGAGTTTGTCCTTCAAAACGTATCTTATTCTTTCCAGATGTAATGTATTCGTTAATTGAACCGCCTACTATTTCTGAAATCAATCCAATTGTTTTAAATATTTTTAGGGTGTAAAAGGAGATGCGGGCACCAAAGGTGCGATGGGAAGATTTGGAGCACGAGGCCCAGTTGGTCAGAAGGTAAAACTAAAAATGCATTAAAGTTAATGTTTTAGTGTTTGACAGCAGTTTGAGTGAGGCTGTGATGATTTTCCACAGGGGGATCCAGGAGAGCCAGGGCTCAATGGAGTGATGGTAGAGCAACACCTATAAACCTTTGATCACTTTCTTGTTTAGCCTTCTGTTTGATGGGACCACACACACAATTATGGCTACTTGGTCTGGTTTCAGGGGCGCGATGGAGAGCATGGAAAAGATGGAGCCACAGGGGACAAAGGAGATGTGGGACTTCAAGGCCTGAAGGGAGATCAGGTACTAAATAAGAAATGCAGTGTGACACGTGGCTTCTTTCTATTTAAAGCTTTTAATAAGAATTTGTGATTGAGATTAGACATTTATTTTGTCTTTTCTCAGGGTGATGCAGGAGAACATGGCTTACCAGGAGAGAACGGGGAGAAAGGAGAAAAGGTAGAAGTCCAGTTATTATTTCTTTCTCGGTGTTCTACATCAGTGGATGTTTATTAAAATCACCTAAATTGTTTTCTGTAATTTCAGGGTTCTAGAGGTTTCCCGGGACGTGTTGGGAGTTCAGGTCTAAGTGGAGAAAAGGTTCACCTTCAGTTTGAGTCTTATAACTTATTGAATATGTTGTGGGAACGTCTCTCTTAAATACATCTAAATGATGTGTGTAAAACAGGGAGATGCAGGTTTACCTGGCAGCCCGGGCATACCAGGACTAAATGGACTGACCGGACGCAAGGTGAATCTAGGTGTGCCCAACCCTGGTCCTCAAGATCCCCTATCCAGCTTGTTTTATATCTCACCCTGCTGATTCAGTGACTGAATCACCTGTTCAGCAGCTACTCAGGCTCTGCAGAACACTGCTAATCACCACAGACTCAAATCAGGTGTGTTGAAACAGGGAAACTTCTAAGACATGCTGGATAGGGGATCTCGAGGACCAAGGTTGGGCACACCTGATCTACACAGACATTTATTTATGTCTTCTCCAAACAGACAGACTCACTTTGTGTTTTTTTTAATCTAAATATTTTAGGGTGAAAAAGGAGAAGGAGGAACCAACGGTGTCAATGGCGAACCAGGAGAGAAAGGAGAAAAGGTTGTAACGTCCATGAAGTTTTCCACCTAGTGCGCCAATATTTCATTAGTATATTTTTCAGATTTATCTTCATTCGTGCAAATAAACCAAAACACGTAAACGTGTCCTGTTTCCTTGATTCCAGGGTACAGCAGGTTTCCCAGGTTTTCCAGGATTCAAGGGTTCAACAGGAGGTCCAGGAAGAGATGGAGATGAAGGTCCACCAGGACCACCAGGTCCTAATGGGGACCCAGGGCCCAAGGTAGACTATTTTCATATTTTGGTCATGTGGTTTTCTGTTTACGGTGCTTGTTACTGGTCACACCTGGAAACATCAACAGATTCTGTTCAGCTCCCACAAAACAGATCAAGCAGATGACTGGTAGGTTTATACACTGTAACATATGTTTATGCAGAACAAATAATAGTTGTCCCAAAATACATCTGAATATTTTATTATGAGATGATTGGTAATCTAATGATCTTAAACCTGATTCTAGGATTCCTCTGGTGGGATGTTGACATTTTAGAATTTAGGAAATGTATAAATATGTTTTAAAACTACAAATATTAAATATAAAGTAAGAATAAGATACAAATACAACCACATATTATATTATATATTTTTTATATTATTATATATTTTTATGAGAAAATCTCATCTTTTACTTGTAAAAACACAAGAGAGGACTGGAAATGTGACAGAACATGAGGAGGATGAGCGACGCCTGATTACAGTCATTGTGTCTTTGGGAGAGACTGGCAGCATGGGCTCTGTGTGTCGCAGCAGTGGAGACAGCAGAGACATGTCCTCGATACACACACACACACACACACACACACACACACACACACAAAGGTCTATTTCTGTCTACAGCTTTCAAATAATATCTTACTCAATTACATCCTTTCAGCTATAATTACCAGACTTTCTGTGTTAACAGAGAGTGGCTTGAAACCACTAATGAGGATATTCCAAGGATGCATCTAATTGATCTGTCTTTCATTCTGTTTGAAGGTTAGAGATTTATTGTGCTGTCACCGGTTTGCTCTTGGTGGTACGGAGGTGTTGTATTAGGAGATTATTTTTCCTGTCTTTCAAACCAGGGGGAGAGGGGGAGAAAAGGCCGATCGAAACCATGTCAGAGGGGATCACCGGGAACGCCGGGACGACGGGGGGAGAGTGTGAGAATTATCCATGAAGACTCAATCCACATTGTTTCTTGTATCATCCATTATTTTATCGGTTTGATCTTCAAAACATAATGATACATTAAATTTTTTAATAAACATTTATAACAAAAAACCTTTTTTGTTTATGAAATTCAGAAATGTTGAGATTTAATTTGGCAAATTAGCTCATCGGAATCCTTTTTCTTGTAGAATATTGTGATTTTTCTACAACTAATTTATACATAATTCTAACTTCAGTAGAAGATGTTATTATAGAAGCTAGGACATATGATCTCCTGTTCAATCAAACTGTTTATTAGCAGTTGAAAGGTTTTTGTTACAAAACAAGCAAAAAGCTGACCATTACTGCTAAAACAAATCTAGTTTGTTTAAATTAATATAATTTATTCATACAGTTTAAACCCAAAAATAATGTTATGGTGAAAAAGTCAAACAAGAACCATTCAAAACCATAAAATCACCTGAATCTTTGAATCACAATAATCCAAAAGTTTTTTTGTTTGTTTCGCAGGGTGAAGTGGGTATTGAAGGGGTGAAAGGGGACAAAGGAGAGCCTGGACTCTCAGTAAGTCAACTGTACACTTAATATCTAAAATACACATTTAGACAAAAACTGCAAGGCTTCTTAAATGTTGTTTCTTTGTGTCAAGGCGGAAGAAGTGAAGGAACTCGTCACCCAGGAAGTTGTAGAAAAGTGCGGTAAGAGTGTGCACATGTTGGCTGTTGTGTTACAATCTGGCACAAGGCGTGCGTGCATGCGTGCGTGTGTGTGTGTGTGTGTGTGTGTGTGTGTGTGTGTGTGTGTGGGGCTGTTAGAGCTCCTGTGGCAGCAGCATGGCACCCGTGTGTGTTGAGCCATCTGTTATGTTCTCTCAGAGGAACACACACCGTGGTGCCAGCGACAGTGAAGCCATTCACAAACAGGAGAACACGATTAAAAGAGACGTTTTCCCAAAAATCTGCCACATGTACAAGACACATAGAATGATTCTTTGTTTTTGTTTTTTTTTTCTTACCACATGGGTTATTTTTGACTTGCAACAATATGAGAACATAAAATCAAACAATAACTGTGCACATTCCTGTAATCATATAAATATTGCAGATGGTTTAGCATTGCGCAGGAAATTAAAAGATTGTTATGTTGTTCTGTTGCAGGGTTGGAATACAAGTTCATGGTAAAATCTGTGGATCCAGATGCAACGGCTGCAATGACTGATGTAAAACTTATCCATAAGTTGGAAAACATAGCAGCGTCTATCTCTAATGACCTTCATGAGAAAACAATGGAAGAGGAAGAGCTAGAGGACAAACACAGAGCTCATGCAGAAGCTGTAAAAATCATGGATGCAAAGATCTCACCAAACCATAACGGTAAGAACAGAAAAATAAAACAAGTGTTGGCAGCTTTTAAGCTCCAGGCTAAACACACAAATAACAAGAGTGTGACCAAATGTGAGGCCAAATGACCTCATTGCTCAAAGTGATGTGGAGCAGCTGTGTTTGCGGTTTTTGTTGTGTCACATTATGATGGTATCTGTGTCGCTGGTAGAACTGTGAGCGGTTACCGAGGGTAACGCATCACTCTTGCTGTGCAAAACATATTTTAACAAACGATCCAAAATATAGATGAGGCAGGTTGTTAGCAGGGTTTGGGAAACACATTTTGCATTCATTATCCTTTTGGCTCCATGAGGTGAATTAACAATGTCAGTTCAAGTCCACCAAAGCTTCTTTGATGTGTGCTGCAACCATCACTCATTTTTCCAAGTTCACTTCTACAATGTTAACTATTCCTAAATGGCAATATATATATGTATATATATATATATACATATATATATATATATATATATATATATATATATTAGTCAGAAGTTGCACGTTATCAAACTTATAAAGGATTGTAGCTGCAGGCACAAATCACGTTCTGAATTTCAAGCTGTTTGTAATCCTTGCTTCAGGTGAATAAAGCAGACAGCCAATCAGAGCCTGAGGCTGTCACTTCATGGTCAGGGCTGGTTTCTGTAATTGTGAATCATAATTAATAGATGTCCAGTTTTTGCTCATTGGGTCTAGTATTTACTTTATAAGAATTACATAAAACCTGCACTGACATCATCTGAGGAGGTGTTTTTAGATTAACTCACTGGAGAGTCTTTCACTTTGATTTTTATCAGTTTGCATTTCAAAAAGTCCACCCTAAGGCAAAAGTGATTTATCAACATTACCGCAGAAATTTAAATTTGAAAGATCATCAGTAAAAAAATATTTTACGGTGAAATGGCTTGAGTGGATCGTGAGAGTTAAACATTTTCAGTGGTCTCCGGTAGGAATGAATGCCTTGTAATTCGTACTCTGGGGGGGGGGGGGGGGGGGGGGGGGAGTTCTGGTGAGCTTAGGAACTAGAAATGGGCCAGATTGGAGTTGGGGTGAACAGACTCTTATTTCCTGATATTTGGACATCTCACCTCTGATTGGCTAACAACAACACGACTCTACCACTGACTCTGTTTGCTCTGTGACGTTGACGTTTTATCTCCACAAATAACCAAGCCTGAAGAAGTTCTGCTGTGTGGTGGAGTTGCTAATGCTAACTGTCAGCTTCTGCTAGCCGAGATGTTCTCTGCTGTTTCCTGGACGCTAAACCAACTGCCTTCCCCGTCAGTCAAGATGGGTGAGTCAATGAATGCTAAGTGACAGTCTGACGTAGATCTGTCCGACTTTCCCCCGTCTATTTTCTATCAGAGGCTAACTAACGCAGGAGATAGGTGTAGGAGACTATTTTCATGTTCAGCCTGCATGAAAAACTTAGAGTGACCCATAATAATCAGAAATAACTTAAACTATGTTTTGTTTTGTTTTTTGTCCAGGGGCTGCACAAAAGCTATTGAATGAGCTTCCTCTGTTGATCAGGGCTTCTGCCTGTAGCGTCACACTTTATAGCGTAACGACTGCATATTTAATTATGACCAATAAGATGTGATGATTCCATATAAATATAAAATATCAACCTGATTGATCTTTGTTTAACCAGAAGATTTTAGGATTCTTTGCTTGTTCAGGGACCATAAACACACTTCGTATTAATTCAGGCAGAGTCAAGTATATAGTTAAACTAAACTAATTATAATTCATGACAAGCTATGAATAATGATATGTGAAGGAGTGTATATGCTGAGATGGAAGGTGAGTTGTAGGTGGTTTAGAGTAAAGTAGATGTGTATCAGAACCTTTGTATCTGAAAGAGACTGTGAACTCTGGGTGTAAAAGAATTTGTTGTCTGCTATAAACAAGGGAGTTGATTATTAAAGAGCAAGTCAACCCCTACCAGAGTCTAACTCCACTCCCACTTCATGTTTGAAAAATGCAACACATGCTGTTGCCTGGCAGACCGAGAGGGCGGAGCTGCTAACAAATACACACACACTCAGGCTCACGACAGCATTGTGACATCATAATGTACCAGTTTACATCATAGCATACTTCTTAGCCAATAGCGGTGGCAGATTTAAATTAAAATACAGTTCAGAGTTTTTACCTGACAACGGCACAACACTGCCAGTTTTAGGCAGAATATTTAAATTTTAACTAAGATGCACTAAAGTGCCAAATTATTGACGACACGTGTCTGCAGCACGATTAGACACTCGTTTATTTAGTTTATCAGCAAAAAAATGTTTATTTGGGGGTGACTTGCTCTTTAATAAAACAGCATCAGACGCAATCTGTTGCGTCTACAAAACCCTGATGGGAGACCTCTGGTCAGATCTGGAATGTCAGGAGGTCGGGTGACCGAAGTTCGTAGAATAATCGCAGTGCGGCCAGTCCGGTCTAGAGATGTCTCCAGGTCACAACAGGCATGAAGGTTTGTTGTGTCTAACACGGATGTTAAGGAGCCATGTGGCTGTGTCAGTCGGCAGTGTGCCAACAGGTTTGACTGTGTGTCAAAAGAGAAAGGCGTCTCAAGGAGGCTGGTTCTGAACTGGCCACTTCGGAGTTCCGCTCGAAACTCAACTACTCGGGGAAGTCACTCTAGTTTTAATTATCCACTTGTTATGATTTCTGCTAATCAGAATTCGACGTGTTTGTAGGTTTTACCAAACATCCCTCAGAAAACCACACCTTCTAGATACAAGCTGTTCTAGTTCTGTGGATAGAGAAGCTTTAAACTTTCTCTGAGGTGACCTTAACCTTAATTTGCATCTAATGAACATTGTGTGTGAGTGTAGATAATGATTATCTTGTTAAATCAAACGGTACTGATCATTGTAAGGACAACATTCATTTAATCTTCACTGAATTAGGCACAGATTATTCAAACATTGATATAACATCTGGTTCATTCAACCATATGATTATTAATGATTATTTAAGTTATGAGTTGTAAAAGTTCACTTTTCATTCAGAGTGTGAAACCCAGCAGTCTGAGATAAGTTTGACAACCTTGTCCTCGTGGACTGTCGACAAGCACTGCAGAATCTTCTGGGTGTTAGAAGATAGAATGGAAAATCCACCTAGATAGTGGACTTATTTCTGTAGATGACCGGTCACTATGCAGGTCAATATATAGGTCAAAAGTGACCCTTTCTGGACGTTACATACCTCTGTGGTGTTTTTTTAAAAACGGCTGAAGACCTACTGTTATGATCTGGCGTTTAGCTCTGTTTGTTAGCTTTTATCTGTTCTTATTAAGCTACTTGACTTATTGTGTTCTTGTGTGCTTCTTTTGTTTGCTTTTATCATTTCTGCTTGTCTGTACAGCACCTTGGTGGCATATTTTACGTCTGTAAGGTGCTGTACAAATAAATGTTGAGTTGAGCTTTTCAGTGAAGTACACCTTTGAAGCGTAGTCATGGAGAGGAGGGCGTGTGGTTTGGGATGACGTGGGTCTGTTGGTCTTCCCCGAAGCAGGTCATAGGTGACAAACAGCTGGGTCCGACTTGATTCCAGATGTGAAGCTATGGTTCTAGAAATAAGTGGAACACTCAGTCAGCTGAGGTGGTTGAACATTTATTAAGGTTCAACAACGTGACTTATTTCTCACAGATCTAAGAAAAGCCTGCTCTGCCGTGTTCAGTTTTTGACTAACTTACGATCTTATCTTTCTGTTGACTTATTAGCTAAAAATCTATGAATCACATTTGTTTTCTCACTACTTATAAAGATATTTTTAAATCATCGACATTTGTTCTTTAATCTTGAATTTATGTATTTTAACCCTGTAAATAATTTAAATAATTTTTGATTATTTCTTATTTAAATTAAATGTGTGCTTATAGTTGTAAGTTTGCATAGAAAGGCTGAAAAATGAAGCGACGCTTTAAAACACCCTCAGACGGGATTCAAATGAGCCAAAATGCTGCCGGCGCTCATTAAACACACTGGTTCAGTGAGAGGGAGTGTGTTTGGGTCTTTGATGGCAGAGTCCAGTTAAAAGTACAACTTCTGATGAACTATATTTCTGTCTTTAGAGTCCCGTGAGACAAGGACTGTGGGATGGACACAGAGGACGAAGAGAAGGGTATTCAGAACAAAGAATGTTGGTGAGTGGCCAAGGCGACAGATTTCCTTGCATCTCTTCTTTTTTAACATGTCAGTTATGAGTAATGAGCTGAAATCATTAAGAGAACGAGGTAGGAAAAGGAAATTCATCCAGATGAGTCCTTAATTTACATCCACTTATGCTGTGTATACTTATTATTATTATTGTTATTGTTATTATGAGCAGTTGTCTTTCTGCAAAGCTTTTGCAGTTTGTTTAAAAGACAATCTGCTGTGTGTTTTTTCAACTTTTCCAAAAAAGTCATATAAATAAAGTTATCTTCTAAGAAAACTGTAACAAACTAAAAAAGCCTTCCTTTTAGGGCCTTGGGTTGAACTTCCTGTGATTTTCCATTTGTTAAACAAAAAACTGCTTCTTTTATTTTGCCACGTTCAAAGTCTCACGTTCACCTGAAGTTGTATTGGCCTGGATACCTGGAGATGAACAGATGATTGTTTTTAGATTTTAGTCTTTTTTTTTTGGCATATAAAATGTTTTTAATCTGTGCTTCATAATAAAGGATAAATACTTTGCATCTTTAGCAGCGGAGCGCTGTTCGGAGCCGATGCTAGAGGGATCCTGTTCAGACTACGTCTTGCTCTGGTACTTCCACATCCAGTCGGGGGAATGCAAACCATTTGTGTACGGGGGCTGTGGAGGAAACCAGAACCAGTTCACCTCTAAACTGGAGTGCCAGAGTCGGTGTGGGTTGGGGAGGAACTCTACTGGAGGTCCGTCGGATCACATGAGGGATGGACCCGCCAACAGCTGAAGTGGTGACTCAATGTGAAAATGTAGAACATTAGTAAAGTGTTCAGATGAAGCCCAAAACCAAACAGATGCTGATTTGTGTACATAACTAAGTAAAATATAGCTTTGTCTTTTTCTGTTGTTTATTTATGTTTTTGTGATTTTCCGTCTAGTTGTTGTTTACAGAAAAAAAAATTGTTTTCTAAATCTGAACATGTGTTCTTGGTTGTGTTTTTACTGACTGACTTTGACCCTTGACCTTTGCGATCATGTGGGCGACGGTGGCACAGGAGTTAAGTGCTCGCCCCGTAATCGGAAGGTTGCATGTTCGAGCCCCGCTCAGTCTGTCACTGTCGTTGTGTCCTTGGGCAAGACACTTAACCCACGTTGCCTGCTGGTGGTGGTCGGAGGGACCGGTGGTACCAGTGCTCGGCAGCCTCGCCTCTGTCAGTGCGCCCCAGGGCAGCTGTGGCTACATTGTAGCTCATCCCCACCAGTGTGTGAATGTGTGTGTGAATGGATGAATGACTGATTGTGTTGTAAAGTGCCTTGGGGGGTTCCAGGACTCTAGAAGGCGCTATATCAAATACAGACCATTTACCATGTGACTCTACTGAAAATAAAACTTCATTTGTGGCTTGTTGAGTATTACTCTCCATCTTTCCACTCACATTTCTTGTGTTTTGTCAGTCGTCCTGCGTTTAGAAATCTGCAACAAAACAAAGCATGGTGGCCGGTTGCCAGCTGCCACTGTCAGCGCTGCATATGTTCCTTTGGCAGGGGGTGTTATGGGTCCGGCTGAGGCCATATGAGAGGCATACAGGGACCCTGCTACTCTCCATCACACCAGCTCAGCAGAAGCAGGGGTTTCCTGCGTAGGTGCTCAGGGGGTCTTCAACTTTGAAAAGTTCACAGCTGAAGATTTATGGGGAAAAAAGCATTTGAATGTATTTTACAGCTTTAACATGACTGTTAATATCACACACACACACACACAAAACCCCCATGGCTATCCTCGTATTAGTCACGACTCCCACACGCTGAAGCGCTTCACAAATATTCAAGAGTTACTTTGTTTTCAGGCACCTTTTCTATGAGCTTTTAGAGATATTTAAAATGTAATATCTCATAAAAGCGGCCCACTTATGCATGATTCAGGCAAATGTATATGAAAGGATGTTGAGCCTTATTTCTGACAAACAATAAATGCAGGCTTAGTTTTTGTTTTACTTCTCATAAAAAAGTTATTAGAAGTTGACTGAAAAGAATAAACAGAATAATTAAGAATGAACATTTAAACTAGTCATTGTGGATGAAACTGTTCAGAATTGTTAGTTGATGTTTTATCGGTGAATAAGGATGTTTTTCTGGAGCAGCAGGTATTTTAGCTGAAGGACGTCTTGTCCCAACAGGATGTGCTTACTCCAGCTTGACCCAACTCATGTCTTCCCCTGTGTTCTCCCTCAGGTTTAGAATGATGCACACCACTGCAGGTGATTTCTATAAGTAACCCATACAATCAATGTTCATTACAGCACGCTGTTCTCCACAGATGTATCTAATGTTTGCATTCATATTTTTATAACATAAAACATGGTGTCAGCTCTGGGAACTCCTCTTCTTGTCTGTGGATTTCAACTCCTCTCCTCAGAGTGACACAGACAATTTGTACAGCCCAACAGAAGTTCATGGATCCAAAATCCAATGTCTAGGTGAGGTACAGGCAAGGTCATACACAGGCAGGCAGAAGTCGGTAATACTTGTCAGGGGGTAGAGCTGGAATTGGTAGTCAAAGTTCAGAGCCAAGGTCGGTGTCCAGATGACAGATGGGCGAGAGAATCCGTGGACAGAAAACGTGGTCAAAAAGTCAGAAAAGGGCTTGGATGAAAAATATTGCTGGAGTCTCAACTGGCACAAGGCTGTCGATCATCTGGCAGGGAGACAGAGCCTGAGCTTTGCTTAAAAAGAGGAGCGCACAGGTGCAGCAGGGAGACAATCAGGCAGGGCTCAGGTAAACTGTGTGAAGCTGATTAGTAACGGGAGGACTGTTATGTGGAATTATTACAATTAAAGTAATATCAGAAATTATCTGTATGAGTTTTCACTCTTTAACTGACACAACCATTACATACCAGAACGCACACTACACATCAAAGCCTTCAGCTTCTTCTCCTCTCACTCAAAATCTCAAAATATGATCTAAAGCTTATTTTTGAGATTTTTTTGTTTGTTTGGCACAACTTGTGCAAGAAGAAGTAGAAATAGTGGGAGCTTCAGGATGGTTTTGGTTACATTATGAAGGAATTAGACTATATGGTAAACCAGTTGATATCAACATCCCTTGTGATGAACTTTGATCTGGACAGAGCTGCAAAGTGAATGACCTTTTCTTTAGTTTTGTCTCATCCTCACATAACCACTTCCATTCGCAACATCACGTGTTCAAAAACATAAAAAGGGTTTGATTTCATTTCATTTTTCATGGTTGAGACGAAAAAACGTTGGTTACGTATTGTAACCCCAGATTCTATGAGTCTAGTCGCAGCCCTTAAGCTAGCTGCTATTGGAAGGATGATCTCCGCATCAGCCAATCATGAAGAGCTTAAATGTACGCCCACCAATAGTGGGCCCCCTCGTGGTATATAACCGCAGTGACCCCACTGCTCACCTCCAATGGCTCTTATTCCCATCATAACCAGTGGGGCCAGTGGCTTAAGGGCTGCGACTAGACTCATAGAATCTGGGGTTACAATACGTAACCAACGTTCTATTTCGTCTAGTCTTAGCCCTTAAGCTAGCTGCTATTGGAATAAAGCGCAGCTGGATGGGTTTACGCCCCACTGGTTAACACAACCAATGGACACACCCAATCAAATCTCCTCTAGTGGGGGACGTTCAGCCTCAGACCAGGCCTAAAGACTGAGGCAGGCACGATAAGAGAGGGGCCCCCACTAAAAAACATCATCCACAAGAGGATAAAATCCATCTCAGCAAGGCCAATGAGGTGCCATAAGCATTCATTTAGCCTGCTGGGGTCCAAGCACTGAACGAGTGATGGATCCCGAAGACACATCTCGTAAATAATAACGAGTAAAGGAACAGGGTGAAGCCCATGAAGCAGCCTGACAAATGTCTTCCATTGACACACCACTGAGGAGCGCCATCGAAGAGGAAATCCCTCTGGCCGAGTGAGCCCTGAGTGCCTCAGGGGGATCCCGCCCTGATGATGTGTAAGCGAGGGAAATGGCGTCACACAGCCAGCGTGAAAGGCGCTGGGCCGACAGCGCCTGACCAAGGGAAGACTCCCTGTAGTGCACAAACAGGTTTTGTGAGCGACGAATCCCTGAAGTGCGTGACACATATCGTGCAAGCGCGCGCACCGGGCAGAGAAGGTAAGAAGCCGCCTCCTCCTCAGAATTATGGGGAGGAGGAAAAAGTCCAGCCAATGAAATTGACCTGGATTTGAAGGAAGCATTAATGCTTTTGGGCACAAAGGCTGGGATGGGGCATAAAACAGCAGACCCGCCATCCTCCCGGATCCTGAGGCATGCGGGAGCCACTGAGAGGGTGGTTAGGTCACTCACTCTCTTAACTGATGCTAACGCCAGCAGCAAGGCAGTTGTAAGTGACAGGAACTTGAGTGAGACCTGGTCCAAGGGTTCAAATGGAGCTTCAGATAAGCCGTGCAGAACCACCGTTAGATCCCATTGGGGAAAAAGCGGGCGGGACACAGGTCTGTTCCTTCTGACACCTTTTAGAAAACGTTTTGTGAGGGGATGATTGAAAACAGATCTATCTCCAAAACCCTGATGACATGATGAGATAGCTGCAGCATATGTCTTAACAGTGCTGAATGCGAGGCCCCTGTCCATCAGTATCTGCAAAAACGATAGAACATCCGCCAGCTGGCAGGAGAGCGCTTGAACATTCCGTTCTGCGCACCAGTTCTGGAAAGCTGCCCATTTAGCAGCGTAAGAGGCAATGGTAGAGGGCGCCCGCGCACTCTGAATCGTGGCCACCACATCATGCGGCAGCCCAGAAGCCTCTAAGCGTGACCGCTCAGCGGCCAGACCCACAGCCGTTGGCCTATTTCCGGAGGATGTTTGATTATCCCATCCGCCTGGAGAAGGGCGTCCGCCCTCCACGGGGAGCCGGACACTAGCGCTTGCAGGTCCGGAAACCATGACGCGGACACGCGCCTGGGAGCCACCAGAATCACCGAGAGCTGTTCCGACCGAATTCGGTCCAGGAGACGGGGAATCAGAGGGACTGGTGGAAACGCGTAAAGGAGCGTTCGAGGCCAGGGCTGGTGTGAGAAGGCGTCCGCCCCGAGCGGGGGTCCGTCCCGGGGACTCAGGGAAAACCACAGGCGACACTGAGCGTTTTCGCGAGCCGCGGACAGATCCACAGACGGTTCCCCGAACCTGATCCAGATCTGTGATATCAGTGCAGGATGTAGACGCCAGTCGGAGTCGCGGGGTCCCCCTCTCGACAGGATGTCTGCCGCTACATTCAGTACCCCCGGAATGTAGATGGCTCTGATGGACAGCAGGTGGACATGTGTCCAACACAGTAAATCTGTGGCGACACGCAACAGTGGGAGGGATCGAACTCCCCCTTGGCGATTTATGTAGGCTGCCGCTACCCGGTTGTCTGTGTGAACTTCGACATGACGGCCCTCGAGAAGGGCAGCGAAGTGTCTGATCACATTCCTCACTGTCATAAGCTCCAACACATTTATGTGCTCGTGCGTGTGGGAGGGCCAGCGATCTGCCACCGTGTGGGACAAGCACGTGCCCCCCCACCCCGACAGTGATGCATCCGTAAACACAGATACGTGTGACGCAGGACGTCCGATGGGAACCCCGCGTGAGAGGATGCAGGGGTTCCCCCAGTGAGCAAGGTCCCCGCCCACTGAAGGGGGAATCCTCAACATACGTCTCTTCTGACGTATTGGGTGTACCCGGAGGCGGACGAACCAGCGTTGCAAGCGCCTCGTGCGCAGCAAACCTAGCGGCACTACTGAATGGGCTGCGGACATCATGCCCAGGAGTTTCATGACTAACCGGGCTCTCACGATCTTGCGGGGTTGAACACGGGAGATCACCGTGGAGAGATCTGCCGCTCTTGCAGGCGACAAACGTGCTCTCATTAGGGAGGCGTCCAACTCCACCCCGAGATACACAATCGACTGGGATGGAAGGATGGAGCTCTTTTCCCAGTTTATAGAAAACCCTAGGGTTGACAGATGCTCTGTCAACCTCCTGGTTCGCTGTGACGCCTCGTCCTCGGACCGAGCGCACAGGAGAAGATCGTCCAGGTAAAATAAGACCCTCATTCCCTCCGTGCGCAGTGGCTGCAGCGCGGTCTCCAGACATTTGGAGAAAGTGCGCGGGGCTAGCGAGTAGCCGAAAGGGAGGCGATTGAACTGATATTGAACTCCCTTGAACGAAAAACGCAGAAACTTCCGGTGGTTTGGAACTACTGGTATGTGGAAGTATGCGTCTTTCAGGTCGATTGACGTGAACCAATCCCCGGGGCGCACATATTCCAGGACTTGTCTCATCGTTAACATGCGGAAATGCATTACTGCTATGGAGCAGTTGAACAGGGACAGGTCGAGAATCGGCCTCATTCCTCCCGACTTCTTCGGTACTACGAAGTAGCGGGAGTAGAAACCCGAGAGTTCTTGTCTGCGAGGGACTCGGGAAATAGCGTCTTTGGACAGAAGTTCCCGCAGCTCCAGCTCTAGCGCCTGAGACTGTACTTGCGATGTGAACGTCGTCTCCACGATCCCGTTGAAGGGAGGTGGAGTGGCCTGAAAATGAAGTGTGTGACCGCAATCAATGGTGTCCGAAATCCATTTGCTCATGATGCAAAGGCGGCGCCACTCGTGCGCGCGTTCCGACAGTGGACGCGTGTGCGCGGTCACGTGAACAACGTCTGAGGGTTGTGCATGCGCCCTTACCGCCGTCGCCCGTACCAGAGAACTGGGGGCGACCCATGGAGGGCTGCGCTCGAAAGGGCAAGTGCGAAACAGCTGGAACAGGCTGGTCCACACCGCGGAGCGTGGAGTCCGAGAGTGAAGGACGAGTGGGAGCTGGGCCTGTGCACGGGGGCGACAGAGTGCTAGCGGATGGAGCCGCGCACTGTGCCGCCGCGCGTGGTCGAGACAGCGACATGACATCCCGCCCCACCCAACGGCGTGGGGAGAGCGGGACGAGTTGGGCCTGGCCGGATGCTGGGGCCAGAGCGCAAATGGAGCGCACCCTTACGGCTGGCCGTGTATTATGACTACCTGCAGGAACATGTGTGCGTGCAGCAGTGCTTGGTGTGGGGAACATGTGTGAGAACTCGGCAGAGGATTCTGCGGAGGACTGTAGGATTGAGCTCTTTGAGTGACGTTTTTTGGGTTTTATTTCAAAACCAACAACATCAGAACAATCAGTAACACACACATTCCCCCCAAAGAGTCACTTCCGTGGCTGCTTTCGGCGAGGCTCCTGCACCTGGGACTGCCAAGACGGCGTCTGCTGGCCCCGCCGGAACCGTTGTCCGCCATCTCGCTGGTCCCGCTGATGTGGAGCCGAAGCGGGAGGCCGGCTCCGTGGAGCGGGCGGTGCAGCTGGAAGTCTGAAGCTTCCGCGCCGTTCGTCCCATCCTCTGGCTGAACGGCCGGAGTGCGAGGCTGACCGAGGGTGGACCAGGTCTCGCACCGTAGCCGATAGTTCGGCCGTCTTCTGAGCCCTCTCAATGACGCCCCTAAGATGGGGACCAAACAGAACATCGGTGGTGATGGGGCCATCCAGCATCTCCCTTTGCAGATGTTCCGGAATGGAGGGCAGGGCCTTCAGCCAGATCGCTCGCTGGATGAGGGTCTGCCAGGCAGCGATGCAAGCAGAACCGGTGAGCACAGCAGCACACAGATTGAGGATGGCATCAGCAGTCTTAGTTATGACGGCTTTCGACTCCTCGGGAGCTTCCAGCTCCTCCATCATCTTGGAGACGCCGAAGGCAAGAAGGGCGATGTTATTCCCTGCAGCGCCGGTCTGAAAGGCACACTGATGTGCGCGGTCGGTGAGCCGCGTCAGCAGCTGGTCATGTTTTGAAGCGGGAACAGCTCGCGGGCCAGCGAGGTGGTTCTTGGCGCCGAACAGCGAGGCCAAATCCGGCTCTAGTGGAGGAACGGACGGCCAGCCTTGATCGGAAAACCCCTCGACCTTGGTGATGGGCGCATATGTGGAGACTGGCGCCTTGAGCTTGGCAGGCTCGGAGAAGGCGGCAGACCAGCAGCTCATAGCAGCGGGGGAAGCGGCCAGACAGGGTCTGGACAGCGTGTCTGAGTTGCCCCGAAAATTCCTGCCAAATCATCCGCTTCAGGCAGGGCCGGTTCTGGCACAGCTAGCCCCTTGCAGGCTGCTGACGCAGAAATGATGGCGGGCAGCTCCTGGAGCAGTGCTCTTACTGCTGGCAGGGAGGAGCGAGAAGCCACTGGGGCAGAAGGACCCGCTGAGCGAAGCTCGTCGACCTCCGTTATGTCTAGGAGGGACGCCGCCTCATCGTAGTTTTCGCTGTCAGTGACGTCATCCAGCCGGTTGAAGCCAGCCGGCTCCTGACCGGCGTCGAAGAAAACCAAAGCCTTGTCCAGCGGGTAGGAGTCAGCCACCGGAAATTCTTCGTCGGCGGCGGGAGTGAAGTACTCGACCCAGCGAATCTTCTCCGCCACGGGCAGAGCGGCACAGAACGGGCACGAGGCCTGCGGGGTCAAGGCCAGGCCAGCGTGGTGAGCCCCGAGACAGACCTCACACTTAGCGTGCAGGTCGCCGCTGGAAATGGAGCCCGTCTGGCAGGTCGGGCAGGGTCTGGTGTCGCTGGACATGGCTGGTAAGTCATCTTCGGATAATTTGCTCTTTTGAGATAATATTTGCTCTTTAATAAAGCTCTCAAGCTTGGCATGAAGAGAAAAAGGAGGTGAGCAGTGGGGTCACTGCGGTTATATACCACGAGGGGGCCCACTATTGGTGGGCGTACATTTAAGCTCTTCATGATTGGCTGATGCGGAGATCATCCTTCCAATAGCAGCTAGCTTAAGGGCTAAGACTAGACGAAATAGAACAGGATCAGGGGAAAGGCGCTGTCCTTGGTGCTGACCCGATATTCGAATACAAACATTTTATTTTGAAAATTTTGAACTTTACCAAAGAAAATCAGCTTCTAAACGCCGTGATCTTGTCTCCTCTTGTCCACAAACACGGAGTCACAACTTTTTATTGTTTTATTTTAATATTACATCACTACATGACGACCAATGGGAGGGCTCACAGGGACCCAAAATGTCAAAAGCGTGACGTGGTTGCTGGCGTAGGGCTGCAGTTTGATGTCTCCTACTAAACGAACGCAGAGGGAATGGACGAGGAAGACGCTGCCGCTCAAACTGCGTGTGCGCACCGCTGACCTCCACAGTTATTCGGGATCTGGCTCCAGAACTTCCCTGGAAATTTCATTTTCCTGAGTTTTCCATGCAAACATAACTGCTCACTCTCTGTCAGAGTATTCTTTATCAAGGGACAAGAGTGGTAAGACATTTCCTTGTTTACATAAATATATGCGTGGGTTAATTTTGCAGCACTTTCCCCCAAATGCTCTGTTTGCTTGGTTATTTTCTAACCAGCCTGAAATTGTATTTGTAACCAGAGATTAGTTTAAAATACTAAATATCTCCCTTTTGGAATAAGGAGGTGGACTTTGTAACGACATGGATTGTCCCCTCGTTTTTAAGTTTAGTGCTTTTTGGTGTAATTGTTAAGGAGAAAGAATTCACTCCTGTCCACCTTCACATGTGTTGTCCCCCAGAGGACACAGCATGCTGTCGTCCCTGAAGACCTTGCTGCTGCTCTCGGTCCTGTGCGCGCCGACCTCCAGCCTGTGCCTGCGCCTCCACCAGACCCGCTCCGATCTCCTCTGCAACAACTTCCTGGCTGTTCGGGTTCCAAGTGATGAGCCCGAACCGGGTTACTCTCCATTAGGCAGCCTGGGGTCCCTGCTTCAGTCCGAGGGGTATCTCAGTCCCCCCTCATCCTCCTCTTCTGCTGAATCCAGCCGGGAAAAAAGAACTTCAAGTCCCGCAAATTACCGCTTCACGAGCCGGACGAAGCTTCGAGGGCAGATGCTCCGCAACAGCATCAAAGGAGACCGGAGGAGCAGACTGACCCTGTCCCTGGACGTCCCGACCAACATCATGAACGTCCTCTTTGACGTGGCCAAAGCCAAAAACCTGCGCGCTAAAGCGGCGGAAAACGCGCGTCTCCTGGCGCAAATCGGACGGAGAAAATAAGAAACTTTTCGTTCACACAGACGTGACAGGGTTTTGGTACAGCCCGTCAGCACCTGATCACTTTTCATCCTTCAAATACACTTTTTCCTCCAAGTGAACAAAAATTTAACTCGGTTAAAGCAGGCAGAATAAAATCCGGTTCTATTGTTAACTATTATTTTTTTTATCTATTAAACCTGTAAGAAAAGCGCCTCGTTGTTTAAATTGTTGTTTAATTGCCTGTTTAAAGAAATGAAATAGTTTAGCTTGAGAACACAACTTACAGTTCTGGTTAAAGAATCGTTTACAAATCAATGCATTTGTTTCTTTACTCCTCTCAGACATGTTGCTGTTGTGGCAGCATCTTTACCTCAAACCCAGACAGGACACACCTGATTTTATTTGAGTTACGGGCTTTGAGTCACTTACTGGGGAGTTGTCTTCGTGTGAATCAGGCCCAAGTTAGAATAAGCTACCTAAATGTCGCAGTTCATTAGGCTTTCCTCTTTTAACCACGATTGCCACTCAGTTTAAGAATTCATTGAAAGTAGATTGAATGAAACGTCTTTCAGTTTGATGTATTTGGGATTTTCTGCTGGGTCGCAAAAGACCACATTGTCTGTGAAAAACGCATGTGAATGTATGTGCTCATCAGATATCTGTTATTTTTATACTGCAAATAAAGGATTATTTTTCCTCAATTAAAGCAGATGAAGGGTACAGGCCTGTGTCCGCTTTTATGTTTATTACGAAATCTGAGGATTATGCTGCAACAAATAAAAAAGATCTAACGATTACCTAGAATATTTGTTAGAAATAAATGTCGTCTGTATGAATAAATAGGATAGTCATCAGTACAGACGGGGAAAGGGAAACTGGAAGTTTGAGGCATCTCCAGCAAACTTTGGAACACTGTCAATACGATTTGTGGCCACTAGAGGGCAGTAAACGACCTTATATCCTAAATAATCGCTTTCAACAACGTTCACCACTTTAGAATAAGGCTCCCCATATAAACAGCTATTTTACAATATTTAATAGACGTGCTATTAATCAATCAATTAATAAATGTGTATACTTTATAAATGATTAACAGTTATTATGCATCAATTCAGGGCGAGAAAGAGACAAAACATACTGATGAATTGTCAAATAGTGATACAAATTGTTGGTGAAGGCACATCCATCTAAACCTTCCCTATTAAGTATGTGAGACTAAGTTACTCTACCTTGTGAATTTTGTTTTTATTAACCTAAAGTAGGGGGCTAACTGGCGCTAGAACTATGCCCAGGTTTTAGAATAAAACTTTTTTACTTACATTTTAAGTGTTGCTGAATTAAAAACAATCAAATTCTTTGTGTCCTCTTGGGAATCATAATTTTAAGGTGAAGGATGATGAGGATGAGAAAGACAATAGTTAATGAAACTTTACAAAGCTACAGTACATAGTTACTTAGTAGGAGACTTTTCCTGTGAATTATTTCAAAGTAAAACATTATTTTATTTTAGCATTAGCAAGAGGCGAACACCCTCTAACTCTTTTATTTTCATTTTATTTAGCTAAAAAAATTAAAACCATATCAGTGTTAATCACAGTGGTTGTGAGTGAATCAAATTGATAAGCCCAGCTAGCTACAGTGCTAAAAACCATCAACATACATATACTGGACAATGGGTTTCCATAGACTACAATAATAAGTTTTTGTACTAAAATGGGAGGTGGCCACCACCGCCATTTTGACCGTGTCACAGGTTCCGTCAAGCCCAGACAATTCCAAAAAAGGGAAGAGAGGTGGAGCTGAGGGTGGGGCTGTAAGGCTGGGATCAACTGACGACACTTGGTCGAACTAGCTACAAGCTAACCTGAAGCTAACCCAAAGCTAATGCGGAGGTGGGAGCTAAGCTAACGGAGGTAGCAACCTAGCTACAACCAGGAGTTAACTGTGCACAACACCAGAGCTTCTGAGTCAGAGATACGCCGGGCTGACCGCTGGGTAAAACCGGGTGGAACACAGAGGTCTCCGAGACCTCCACAAGCCGGCAGCCGCACAGCAGACAAGCGCAGCTGCAATCTGAGATGCGCAGAGCTACCGCTGGGGAGAACCGGGTGGAAAAATTTCCATCCCAGAGCTCCACAAGCCGTCAGCCCAAGCAGCAGCCAGAAGCCGCGATCAGACAGAGATGCATCGGGCTGCGGGGAGGGGAGAACCGGGTGGAAAACATCGGTCTCCCGAGAGCACCACAAGCCGATAGTCGGAACCCAGCTCCACCAACATGTTATATTTCAACCCATTTTCTAAAGTGCAACATTATGTTAAATGCACTGGGTTTTACCCTATTACATTTAAATTTCATGGGTAAACAGTACATGTTAAAATCTAAGCTCAGCTCGGCAGTGACCTAAAATACATAAATATAATTTTACTTACCGAAAAAAATGAAGTGGAGACTCCTTGGACGCTCTATTAGTGCAATTAATGCCACAGCAAGTTATTTTGTCCAACAATTGCACAAAACATATCCAAAAAAGAATACACACACACAGAGACTCAAAATCCCGGAGCAGTTTCCAAGCCAGACCGAGGCTCTACTGAGGCCTTTACCCGGAGCTAGCTCTGTGGTCACGTGGGTCGGATGCTCATTAATTATACAGAATTTTAGGCTATTAATACACTTAAACAGAAGAGTGAGAAAAAATTCACCCCTTCAGAGTTGTCATGAGTGTAAACTAGATCATTTAAACAAAAAACATGTTTTGGTACCAGGCTGTAAACATGTTTATTTCTGCTGTGAAATTAGTATTTTTAACAAGGGAGTCAATGAGGATTTGCTCGCTTCTGACACCAGCCCCCAGCGGATGAGGGTGGAACTGCAATTTATTTCATTTCCGGGTTTGCCTCAATTTTTGAGACGCATTGTGGGGGCTTGCTAAAAACTCCGTTTTTAATTACCTTAAAATGAAAGAGTATGATAACTATCGCCCTCTGGTGGCACAAAAAAAGTTGGAACTACATTTTGGCTGTATCCTAGAGTAGTATCCTATATGCCTTCTTTTCTAAATGAAATTGAGAGGAAAAATCCAAATCTTTGTTTGTGTCCTCTACGGAATCACAATTTTAAGGAGAATAAACAATAGGAGAGGGAGAAAAATCAGAGGGAATTATTTTTTATGTTTATTTCATATAACTTCCTTGGTGTTTTAAAGTGATTCCTCAAATAAACCTGTGGATTTAGTTTTGCCTTGTGGCCGCCAGGGGACGTAAAATCCCGTGCGATTGTAGTGCTGAAAAAAATGGAATAGAAAAACTAGAACTAAACTCTGGTTCTTTTAAATTGTTTAGAAAATATTCTACGCTCCTTATCTCAGTAAAGCTGGGAAATAACTAATGTTTTTTGTGTCTTCTTGTGAATATTAATTTTAAGGAGAAAAAAGAGATGGAGAACAGGGAACTGAACTTAAGTTTTAATAGTTATTAAGAACACTTCATGTAAATTCTTCAAAAATAAAATGCTAGTGTTTTGGCTTTAACAAAACTCGCTCTAAGTCTTTTTCTCTTTTCATTTAGCTAAAAACACGATTCTAATTATATTTATGTAACAGTGTCAAGCTGAATAGATGTGTCAGCAGCAGACTGGCCATCAGGAGCACCTGGACGCGGAAGCTTCCTGTATTTTTTAAAGATGGAAACACAATAACTGCTTCTTTGAAATGGACTCTGGGTCCATAATAAAGAATACTTGACTTGATAACTTAAACCTGGTTTTTGAATATTTTTCGCCCTCTAGTGGACTAAAACTGTTACTTCGGGCAGCATTGTTAACATAAATAATGCATTACTCATCAGCTTTTCCTGTGGATTCATTTAAAAATAAAACAAACCGCTTAAATTAACTATGGGTTTTAAATTAGTTAAGAGCACAGTCTAAATAATAGGAAAGCCAGAACATCTTCACTTAAATCTATGTGAAGTATCTGTATTCAACAAGATTAAATCAATGAGCTAAAGCAGGAACAATTAGCAACTAGCTACTGTGCTACAAACACATCACACGCCCTCTGGCGGTCACAGAGCGAAGTTATCATCAACTGTAGCCTTAGAGGGGGCTTTAATTTCATAAATTAAGTTATTACTATGTCACATAAAATAAATATGTTTAAGTTACAGCATTTTACCAGCAAAAGTTTCTAGTTTCCATTCAGACATATCAGATATCAAACTAGTTCTTTATTCAAAGACAAATAAATACCCAAATACATCTAATAAACACTCAGACATTGATACATTGAATTAAAAACAAATTGTCCATATTTAGTTTTAAACTGAAAAATATTTACGTATGTTGGTTTAAAAATGAATGCATAAACTACTCAAACAATTAAATAAAAACCAAATAAAAGTTACCAGAATAGAATTGCAGTGTTTGTTCTTTCTCTAAATTAATTTTTATTTAATTACTTGTAATCTGTCGTTTTAGTTGATTGATGGCCGCATACTCATTGTCTATGTTTATGTATTATTCAAGTCAATTGGATTGAAACAAAATAACTCTTATCTATCTATATGGCTTTGGAGAGTAAAGATTTTCTGCTCTCTAGCGGACGAACGCTATTACTACAGGCAGCGTTTGTAAAGTTAACAAGATAGAACTCTTAGCACTTCCTGTAAATTCCTTCAAAGTAAAACTTTTCACATAGGTTCACAATAGGTTTCAATTAGTGTGACAGTATAATAGTTAGTCTAAATAACGGGAAAGCCAAGATGACTTCACTTGTATAAACTACTTAGCTACTAAAACTCCATAAATCTGTTAACTATCTGTGTTCAAATCAAGGAGCTGAAGCATCAGCAGCCAGCGGTTTTTTTCTTTTTTTCATAACTTTATTTATCAGCAGCCAGCTTTTTTTTTCAAAACTTCATTGAACAAGGTGATAAGTATACAAACAAACTGCATAATTATCAGCAGCCAGCTACAGCAGCTCAAAGAGGAGTTAAATATTCAACTTCTCAGAGAGAATCTGCAGGAAGAGAAAAGGGAGTTTATTAAAGCAGCAGAAGAAGCTAAAGGTGATTTCAATGAAAGTCTAAAGGATTTAAATGAGAGTTTAAAATGTCTGATCATTCGGATCATTGTGAGTCTGTGTGTGTATGTGTTTGTGTGTGTGTGTGTATGTGTTTGTGGGGGTGGGGTGGGGGTGGGGGGTTGCAGTGTGTGTGTGTGCGTGCATGTGGCAAGGATGGGGAGCGCCAAGGATTAATCAAGCCTGGGGCACCAAACTGGGTAGAGTCAGCCCTGGTGTTACCTGACACCTGATGATAGGCCCTGTCAGCATAGGTCGGCGGTCTTGGGGATCAACCCAGCGGCATGATGACTGAACTTTCCGGCACTGCGCTGCTCTGGGTGGCTGCATGTTGGAGTAGGTCTGTTGACGATATGTAAGTTTTGTCTTTTCTTTGACATTTTTTCTTCTACTTTCTCAAAAAAAACGGTATTTTTTGGACATTTTACTTTTCTGTTTCTGGTGCTGTGAAGCTTAGAGGATTTTTACTGCAATTTTTTGCTTTTTTCACTTTTTGAGCATTTGTTATTATGCGTAACCGTGGCAACAAGCTGGTTTACAATCGGGACATTGGAAAGGCTGAAATAATACCTCAACTGAAGCCACCAGAGGTGGAAAGTAACGAATTACATTTACTCACGTTACTGTAATTGAGTAGCTT